CGCAGTGGCCACTCCCAGTCACCGCAGCCTCGACCTGCTGGGCTCCGGCGATCCTTCTGCCTCAGCCTTCCAAGTAGTTGGAACTACAGGCGTGCACTACCACGCCCGGCTGATTTTTGATTTATTGTAGAGATGAGGTCTCACCAAGTCGCCCAGGGTGGTCTCGAACCCGCGGGCTCAGGCAATCCGCTCACCTCAGCCTCCCAAAGCGCAGGATTACAGGTTGAGCCACCGAGCCTGGCTTTTTGTTCATTTTCAAATGTGTCTTAAATAATAAAAAATACTAACAGTCTTTTAATTTATTTCTTCAAAAATGTATTTTGCAGCCTGCTGTTTCGAGTCATTTACAGAGGAATGTTCATTTAGGTTAATTAATAATATATTTTTAAAAAGTTGAATAAAACTAATGCTGAAACAAGCACAGAGACAATTTTCCTGTCTGAATATATACTTTGGACATGTTTGGTTTTAGCCGCTGTGTTTGACTTGTACAACATCACAGAGAATATAAACACAACGTATGCAATGCCTGCAAATATACATAGCATACGAGACACTATTATTTCGAGGCCATTCTTTGAGAGACGCTAAAAGTTGTTATAGATTTGGTTTGAAATTGTACAATCTACTTCTTATAATGCCAGATGAATTCTGGGGGAAATGATGAATGTAGGAGATATAAGAACACCCTGATAAGCAACCTTTACCATGGATGTCACTCGTTAAACTTGTGATTGGTGTTTTCTTTTTTTTGAGTTCATGATATCTCCAAAAAAGGAACTGAACTTGCTGTACCAGCCACAGAGGTCATGTTCAATGAGTTAGCAGACCAAAGGGCAACAGGAACCAGGGCTCGAGCAATGTTCAGAGTGCGATACTGGCTCACTCTTCATTACCTTACAAATGAGTTTCTGAACCTGCTGGCTATGTCAGGAAGACTGGAATGATGACAGTCTGTTGCCAGCAGAAATTTGGCTAGTCTTTGAAAACGATAGAAAACTAACAAGAACTTATAATGTCAGTGTACCTTAATAGCCTACACAATTTTTATTTTTAAACGACCTCTAATTATTTAAGAAAGTGTTCCAGCTAATGCTAATGGAGTGCTGTCATCTCATTACAGTACACTAAGGAAGCCATTGCTCAAATGTGTTCGTGTGTGTTCATATCCAGATGATTATACAGTGATTTGCTAAACTAAAAATCACTCATCTAACACTGAGGTCATCAACTCCACCCGAAAAGACCTACAGATATATCTGAGAAACTTTTACAATGCTAACTTTATGAGTAAAGCAAAACTATGTTACCTAGATGGGTATAAAGCCTTCTTGTCTTTGAAAAGTTCACTGGCTTCTAGTTTCTCTTCATAAACAAGTTTCTGCTGGTCTGTGAATTGGTCCCTGTATTTTTTACACTGTGAGATATGAGAAGGAGAAAAAACAAAACATCATAAGGAAATACATCATTACTTGTTCTTAAATATGCTAAGCTAATTTAACAGCAACAAGAAGAGTGAAAATGTATGGAATATTCACTTAAAAGGCCAAAAACATTTTTTCTTTGTGGGTTTTAAAAAGTTGGTCTTGGAAATGGCATAGAGCAGTGGTCCCCAACCTTATTGGCATCAGGGACCAGTTTAATGGAAGGCAATTTTTCCACAGACAGGGTGGGGGAATTCACTGGGGGGATTCACCAGGCATTAGAGTCTCATAAGGGGCAGGCAACCTAGATCCCTTGCATGCGCAGTTCACAATGGGGTTTGTACTTCTGTGAGAATCTAATGCCACCTCTGATCTGACAAAAGGCGGAGATCAGGAGGTTATGTGGGGGATGGGGAGGGGCTGTAAGTGCAGATGAGGGTTAGTTTGTTTGCCCACCACTCACCTCCTGCTGTGCGGCCTGGTTCCTAACAGGCCACAGACCGGTAATACATTCTATGACCTGGGGTTGGGAGTCCCTGGCATAGAGACTAGTCTTTGTCCTGCAGAAGTCAGGAGGCTCCTTTCAAACATACCAGGGTCTCATGGTCATGGGTCCTGCGAGATGGTTTCTTCCCACCACATGTCAGTCCTGGAGATCCCCTAGTCCTGAGGCTATAGCTCTTCCAGAGACTCATGGTAAAAGTGCAGCACAACCCAGTACACATTTCCATTTACACACACACACACACACACACACACACACACACACACGATACCCAGTTTCACAATACTTATCTTCATTTTATTTTTTTTAGAGAAAAGGTCTCACCCTGTCACCCAGGCTAAAGTGCAGTGGCACAATTATAGCTCACTGTAGCCTCAACCTCTTTGGCTCAAGCAATCCTCCCACCTCTGCCTCTGGAATAGCTGGGACTACAGGCACATGCCACCACACTCAGGTGATTAAAAACATTTTTTTTTGGTAGAGACAAGGTCTCATTCTGTTGCTCAGGCTGGAATGTAATGGGACAATCATAGCTCATTGCAGCCTCGACCTCCCGAGCTCAGGCGATCCTCCCATCTCAGCATCCCAAGTAGCTGGGGTTACAAGTGTATGTACCACCACGCCTAGCTAATTTTTAAATTATTTGTAGAGAGGTGTCATTATGTTGCTCAGGCTGGGTCTTAAACTCCTGGCCTCAAACAATCCTCCCACTTCGGCCTCCCCAAATGCTGGGATTACAGGTATGAGCTACCAACCCAGGCCCTTGGATTCTCTTTATTTCAGATGGATTCTCTTTATTTCAGATAGGGGAACTGTCAGTGTTTTGGGGGGAACTTTAAGACCTTTTTTCTAATCCACCAAAGTGTGTGTTCACATGTATCTCTGAGTATGTGTTCTATAAATCAGATAAAATTGAACTCTTCCAATTTGCAGAATTTAACTGTTGCCTGAAGGTGTTCAATTTTTATTATTCCCATCTTCTACAGTATTAGCTTCAGATAAATACAAAAAAACGGAGCTACTTGACAGCAACTGGAATCTGGAGTGGGAAGACAGCCCTGTGATTCCTCCTCCAGCCATGGACAAGGCCACCACACAGGGGACGCTGGGGACACTGAGGAACGTCACACAGAAACTCAAGTATGGTGCATGGTTCTCAAGTACCAAAGTCCTCAAGGAATCCTCTTTGAGGTCAAGGAAGAATGTATTAAAAATCTGATTTTACATAACATTTCTCCAACACCCCAAATATATAAGAAGTCTCTGAAGAAACAATAACATGACATGTTTTACCCTCCACAAGTGGAAAATTCTCTTCAGCTCCTTATGAGTGGAATCCAAGAATAGGTAAGGCCTTGACGGCCAATTCTTGTCTATTGGAGATAAGGAAGGCATCTTACTTTTCATTTCCAAGAAGTATTTTTGCACCTGTGTTGGGTTTGACAGAAAATAATCGCTGAGGAAAACACACCAGAAAAAACACTGTCTTATACACATCACAATCAACCTGTCTATCGTGGAATTTATCAAACTTAGTCCATAGCATTACTGTAACTCATCGGGGAAGTCTGAATTCCTCTCCTCCGTCCTGTTTGGAGGAATCTGAGAGCGACCAAAATGGTTAGGAGAAAAGAACACTAACACTCATACTCATGCCAACATCAACCCTAACCCCAGTCACCGTGGCAGAATGGTGCTGTCCAAGAGGCAGCCGTGAGCCTCATGTGCTATTTACTTTTACGTTTTAAGTAATTACAATTAAATTAAAAAGAAATCCAGTTCCTCGGTCACATGGGTTACGCTTCAAGCACTCATTAACCACATGAGGTTTATGGCTACTCTCTTGTACCGTAAATCCCTTACACATGAATGAGTTCTGTTCTAAGAATACTTTTATAAGCCCAATGAAGTCAGCCTAGGTACCCTACTAACACAATCAGCTATACAGTGCCAGCTACATCACTGCTGCTTTTACACCTGTTTCCGGACATCCTGGGCTTGAAATAAAGGTACTATACTAATGTACTCTATACAGTATTGTACAGTCAAGTACACAAAAGCACAACTACTAGTAGAGGATGCACACACGTGACAGTGTATGCCAGACACGTGAACTAACTTAATTTTTAAATTTTTTGTAGAGAGAAGGTGTCATTATGTTGCTCAGGCTGGGTCTTAAACTCCCGACCTCAAACAATCCTCCCAACTTGGCCTCCCAAAATGCTGGGATTACAGACATATGAATGCACATTTGCATCTTCAAAAGTTTGCCACTAGAAGGTTTGTATGTAGGGGACTCACTATACCACCAAGTTCTAGGCACCTTTCATCACTGCACAAGTTTCTAGTGGACACCCTTGCTCTGGAGCACTTAACACGTGCCATCATCACTCCATTTTAATCCTCATAGCAGCTCCATGAGATTAATGCTATTATTATCCCCACTTTACAGATGTTACAATGAGGCTCACAGAAGTTAAGTAACTTGCAGGAGTCACAAATCTCTAAGCAGTAGTGCTGACTGGCTCCAGAACTTACAGTTTGCTCACCACTATGTACAATTCCCTGGAAGACAGAGGAGAACATCGGAGCCTGTCCTGGGAGGCTGCATGGCCTCCCTCTCCTCCCCACCTCTCACCCTCACCTTGCCCACTGGCTTGCCCTGCTGTGGCTCACAGCAGCTTAGCAGGGAAAGAACTTGGCTGTCTTGTGTCCACCTTCCCCAGAGTTCTCTCTGGCCAATAAGGCAAACATTTAATTAATCACATATGGGGCACTAACTCTGACACAGTTCTACCTGAATTTAGGGGGAGATGATACAACTCTGAGTATTACAGTTATGATTTAATAACCATCAGCATCACAGTCACTTTTGTCAATTTAAAAATAGGCACGCTTTATTGAGTTGATGCCATTAAGCAGGTAATTCAACAATGCTATTCATACACATAGAATATCGACTTACAATTCTCTGAAGTGTAAACTCATAGATTTTCTTTCCAGCATTGGCTCTGAAGAACTTCCTGTACTCCCTACGTACCTTTAGAAAGAAGCAGATGACACTGGTGAATGTGTGGCTATGACAGGGACACAAAGATAGACCTCTCTGAACAAAGAAAATGTGTGGAACTAGTGAATTTACAAGGGTCCCTTCTGGATTTAGTAAAACAACAGAAGCACTTTCAGACAGCAGGTCTTAAGTCAGCGAAGAAAGAAGTTGAGAGGCGCAAAATGATAATACCAGAATAAAGTGATGTTTTAAGTTTACTTAGTAGTTTTTGAAGAACCTGATGATTTGACAAGGAACATTTTACAAGCACAGCTGCCAACTCAGCACAAATTAAAATATATTTCAGAACACATTATCTAAGGTAATTTTCTCTTCAGATTGTTTTTTAAAAGGAAAAAAAAGTCTGAAGAACTGTATCACAGTTTCCAAGTCTTGCATGTGAAGATAGGACTTTAGCAATGCTAAAGTCTGAGAGCTAAATGTGCTAAAAAGTAGAACTTAACACTGAGAGCTAAATGTGCTAAAAAGTAGAACTTAAAAGGAAGCTTTTAAGCTACCATGATCTTCCATTCCATTGTATTAACTTTCTCTTATTTCTACTCCCACAAATCTTTATACCTAATGCTATCAGGGCACTTAAAGCATCATATTACAGTTTTAGTTCACACATTTTTTTCTTTGCAACTCTGTCATATCTTTGACATGTACTAATGTCTAACAAATAACTGTAACTAAATGAGGTACTCGCTGAATAAATAAATGATGTAGTTAAATTTTGAAACCGAGGGGAAAATATTTTAAATACTGATTACCATCCAGCTATCAATGGGAAAGTTAGAGTTCTGCAAAATACGAGCCTATTTGAATAATTCAGGCAGTAAGTACCTTTTCCTTTTATCTCCAGTTTTCTGGGTTTAACGGCACATGTTCAAAATATGTCTACCTTAGGGGTTGTAAGCCAGCAACCTACTAACCACATTCAGCTTATAGATACATGTTTTATATGTTTTAGTGCAGACCTTAACATAAAAATTCAGACTTCAGTTTTCTCTTAAAATTTCCTAAGCTCTAGTAACAGTGTGGCTCATTCCTACATGACAAGGACAGGGGCACCAGAGTAGCTGCCGGTGCCTTTAGAAGAGCCACGTGTGCTTGACCTGCACAACTCCCAGGGCTCATGGTACACCTTCCGCCTGCCACTTCCCACCAGCCAGGAGACCCAAGGGGTCCCTCTGGGCATTGGTGTCCAGACTCATTCCCTACATCTAGAGGTTATTAAGGGTTAAGAACATATACCCTTCAGACAGTTCTTCCCCTTACAGGCATACCTCATTTTATTGCCCTTTGCAGATATAACTTTTTTCCTTAACCAGTTGAAGGCCTGTGGCAACCCTGCACCAACCAAGTCTATCAGTGCCATGGCTCCAACAGTGTATGCTCACTTTGTGTCTCTGTGTCACACTGTGGTCATTCTCACAGTATCGCTAACTTTTTCATTGTTATTGTATCTGTAAGAGGAACTTAATCGGTCAAAGTTTTGTCTACTCTGACTGCTCCACAACAGGCTGTTCCCATGTCTCTCTCCTTCCCCTCAGTCCTCCCTGACACACAGCAACAGTGAAATTAGGCCAGTTGATGACTCTATAAACTGGGCCTCTTGGTGCTTAAATAAGAGTCACACGTCCCTCACTTTAAATCAAAAGCTAGAAATGATTAAGCTTAGGAGGAAGGCATGTCAAAAGCCAAGAAAGGCTGAAAGCTGCACCAGATAGTTTGCCAAGTGATGAATGCTAAAGTAAAGTCCTTGAAGGAAAATAAAAGTGCTGCTCCAGTGAGCACTTGAACGAGAAGAAAGCAAAATGGCCTCATTGCAGATAGAGGCTTGGAAAGAATGTCAAATCAGCCACAACATTTCCTTAAGTCAAAACCTAATCCAGAGCAAGGCCCTAACTCTCTCCATAGCCGGACTGCATGAAGGCTGAGAGAGGTAAGGCAGCTGCAGAAAGAGTGTGAAGCTGGCAGAGGTTGGTTTGTGAGTTTTAAGGTAAGAAGTCGTCTCCAGAACAGAAAAGTACAAGGTGAAGCAGCAAGTACTGAGGGAGAAGCTGCAGAATGTTCTCCAGAAGATCTAGCTAAGATCATTGATGAAGGTGGATACAGTAAACAACAGATTTTCAATGTAGACCAAATAGTCGTCTGTTGGAAGAAGGTGCCATCTAAGACTTTCATAGAGGAGAAGTCAACGCCTGGTTTCAAAGTGCCAAAGGTAGGTTGTACCTCTCATTGGGGCTAATGCAGTGGTGATTTTAATGCGAAGCCAATGCTCATTAACATTCTGAAAATCCTAGGACCCTTATGAATTATGCTACATCTACTCTGCCAGTGCTGTCTGAATGAAACAAAGCTGAGATGACAGCACATCTCTTTACAGCATGGTTGGCTCTTTTAAAGTTCACTGTTGAGGCCTACAACTCAGAAAAAAAGATTTCTTTCAAAATATTACTGCTCATTGACAATGCACCTGGTTACCTAAGAGCTCTGATGGAGAAGTATGAGATGAATGTTGCTTTCACGCCTGCTAACACAGCATCCATTCTGCAGCCTATGGATCAAGGAGAAATTTTGACTTTTAAGTCTTATTATTGTTTAAGAAATATATTTCATAAGTCTACAGGCACCAAGATTGTGATTCTTCTGATGGATCTGGGCAAAGTAAATTGAAAATTTTCTAGAAAAGATTCACCATTCTAGATTATTTATTGTTATTATCACCATGAGAATATTTGTGATTCATGGGAGGAGGTCAAACTAGCAACATGAGTAGGAATTTAGAAGATTATTTCAACCCTCATGAGTGACTCTGAGGGGTTTAAGATTTCAATGGATGAAGTCACTGCAGATGTGGAAATAGCAAGACAGTTAGAATTAGAAGTAGAGTCTGAGGATGTGGCTGAATTGCTGCAATCTCCTGATAAACTTGGATGGGTGAGGACTTACTTCTTAAGGATGAGCAGAGAAAGTGGTCCCTTGAGAAGGAAACTACTGGTGAAGATGCCACGAACACTGTTGAAATGATGACAATGGACTCAGAATATTCCATAAACTGAGTTGAAAAAGCAGTGGCAGGATCTGAGAGGACTGACTCCCAGTTTTGAAAGAAGTTCTATTGTGGGTAAAATGCTATCAAACAGCATCACATACTGCAGAGAATCTCTCATGAAAGGAAGAGTCTATCAACGTAGCCAACTTCAATGGTACCTTATTTTAAGAAATTGCCACAGTTCACCAACCTTCGGCAATGCTGATCCGTCCGTCAGCCGCCATCCACATTGAGGCAAGACCGTCAACCAGCAAAAAGATTACATCTCGCTGAAGGCTCAGGTGATTGCTAGCATTTTTTTTTTTTTTTTTAGTAATAAAGTATTTTAAAATTAAGGTGTGTGCAGTGGATTTTCAGACATAATGCAATTATACATTAATAGACTACATTATAGTGTAAAATTAACTTTTACATGCACTGGGAAACCAGTACATTTGTGTGACTGGCTTTTTTGCGATATTTGCTTTACTGCAGTGGTCTAGAAGTGGAATTGCAAGATCTCTGAGGCATGCCTGTGTTCACATTCTATATGCTGATAAACATTTCTCTTTTAGTCAGGGAGTTGTTAGCGCCACAAACATTTCTCATCTCAAACGTGTAAGGTTGGAAGGACAAGGAGAAGAAAAATGGTACCTATTAATTGGCTCCTGAAATTGACCGCATGGGAAAGCAGACAAGTGGAAGTGAAGTCACATGAGAATATATCCCTAAATATACACTAGAAGTTCTGCTACACTTAGTTAAGCCTCATTGTGACTGAGCTCATTGCTACATGCTTTTTTGAGATTCCACAGGGCAGGTGATTTCTCCTGAAATACAACCACACCAGGTAAAGTCTGGTGGCCACATGCTGACATACAATGGTGCCCCTCATAGGGACTGAGAGGCCTAAGGAAAAAAAGCATACACACACACACACATCAATAATTTCGAAGGGCAGATCTCTCACTCATATCAACATAATTCTCTTCTGGGAAAAAAAAGTACAATATTAATATATTCTTGGGCTTCAAAGAATTTGAATCCTACTTCATACAGAAATAGTGATAATATTAAAATACTTCTATCTTGCTGGAAACTGGGCGAAAAAAGTCTAGAGTAAGCCCAGTTAACTTATGCTGAAATGACATTTATAAAATAAAGGTTGCTAGTGTACACCCATAAGGCAAAAATAGTTCCAAATCACATGCAGTTAAGACCAGAAAACTGATGATAAACACATTATTGATAGCAATTTTTTCTTCCTTTTATGAAAATTATAATGCAAGAAGATGTAAATAAAATGGGAAAATGTTTTTTATGACTTTAAAAAAACAGAGATTGAACTTGTTCTAAGTCCTCAAATGGAACATCTGTCAAAATTTATATATGTTACTTTTTAACTACTTCAAATATTACTTGATAAACACTCAGTATAATCAAAAAGGATAATTTACTAAAAAGTTAAAGGCTGAACTTGTAGATTGTTCAAAGCAGAATTTAAGGATATTTCTTTTTTTAAAGGTTTTGGTTTTTTTTTTTTTGAGTTGGAGTCTCACTCTGTTGTCCAGGCTGGAGTGCCGTGGCACACTTACAGTCACTCCAGCGTCGATCTGCTGGGCTCTGGAGATCCTTCTGCCTCAGCCTTCCAGGTAGGTGGAACTACAGGTGCGCACTACCACACCCGGCTTTTTTTTTTAACTGTAGAGACAAGGTCTTGCCAAGATGCCTGGGCTGGTCTCAAACCTGTGGGCTCAGGCAATCCACTCGCCTCAGCTTCCTAAAGTGCTGGAATTATAGGCTGAGTCACTGAGCCTGGCTAGGGATATTTCTAATGGTAGTTCAGATATAGAGTCAATGACATATTGGATAATATTCAAATATTTAGAATAAGGTCAAATGGCATAAGAGTAAAGTAAAAATAATGATGAAGAATAGTGTCAAAAAGGAGCACAAGGATCCCCAAAAGACCATCTACATGGCTTACCATAGTGACAAGTTATTGAATCTTAGGAGGAGCAAACTCTCAGACTGTCTAAAGATCATTCTAAAGGTTCCCCAGAGCTCAGAGTCATATACACTCATGTGTATTGTATCTGGGATGTACTTCTTTAAAATAAACTCTGTCTGAAGCCAGCATGGTGGTTCATGCCTGGGATCCCAGCACTTTGGGAGGCTGAGGCAGGAAGACTGCTTGAGCCCAGGAGTTTGAGCCAGCCTGGGCAATATAATGAGACCTCATCTCTACAGAAAATTAAAAAAAAAAAAAAAAAATAACCAGGCTTGGTGGCACATACCTGGAGTCCCAGCTACTCGGGAGGCTGAGGCAGAAAGACTGCCTGAGCCCAGGAGGTGAAGGCTGCAGTTAGCTGTGATCATGCCACGCATTCCAGTCTGGGTGAGAGTGAGACCCCAATTCAAAGAAAAAGAAAGAAACCCTGCCTGAATGACAAGGCGTTTGAATTTGAAGTTCTCTTTAACTGGAATGATCCACTGGTCTCTGATTGCTACTTCACTCATAGAAATCTGCCAGTTTATCAAGGCAAAAACCCTTTGGTTTTTACGTTGAACAATTTGAATGATGGCTGCTTGAAGCAGGCTCTTCTCCAGGCAGACATGATTGGAGCAGAACAGATATATGAGGGGGAACCAGAGCCAGGCACCCCCCAGGCTGCTCACTGTGGATGTAGGTCAGCTGTTCGCTCAACTCTTCTGTCTTGTGGATTAAAACAAAACAAAACAAAAATCTCCTTCATACTCATATACAGACAACAAAACACAGAACTTAGAGAGCACGATATCTTACATAAAATGTGCCATATTGCTATTCCCTTAAACATAGTATTTCAAGAAATAGAAATCACAATAAAATCAGAAAAATATTAGTGTGCAGGTTTCTTCTCCAAAAGGAGCACGATTAGGCAAGATGGCATTCTACTAGACTGCAGACCATCAGCAAGCGTCCCCAACTGTGTCCTCAGGATTAGTAGAGCGAGACTTCCTGAGGGTCCCCTGGACAGAGAGAGGTGGTTGAGGAAGTACCTTCAGTCCAAGCCAGTAAGCCCAAATGACAGCAACTGCATGCTTGCGCCTAGCCTCCTCCTTCAAGCGTTTCAATTCCCTTCGAGCCTAGAACGTTTTAGATAGTAAATAAAAGAGACAGCCCAATGCAGACAGCACAAATGACCAGAAAAAGACACCCCGCCAAACAGAAGAGCCCGTCTATGAGTAAGGATTCCAGAGGGACAGAGGAACAGCACATCATCATTTCAACCCAGAGGATCAGCGTCAGGCTGCTGGGGAGGGGAGGGTGGGGGAGGGGGACCGAGGCTCAGTGGACGGAGCTCTGTCTTAGGGAAGGGCCATCTGTGTGGGAGCCCAGGTGATTCTCTCCCACCCCTTCCTTCCAGTCTTTTCCTTTTTCCTGCCCACTCTCTTTCCCTCTTGACCTCCCTCTCCACAGCCCCTGGTTCCCTTATCAAAGCCCTAGAGCAGCGGGTGTTGCCTCTAATGACTTCGGGGGACTTCTTGCTGATGGCACCCGGGACTTGGAAGCTACGCACTTCTGTCTGAGTCCAGCCATTTGAAAAGGTTAACAAAAACAAAAACAAAACACAACCATTCAGAAAATTAGGAGGAATAATTTGCTTCTCTGACATGCAAACAAAAGCACAAACTAAAAACTCAAAAATTCTTCACAGTTAGAAAAATGAAAAGGAGCATGTCTAAAAATTCACTTTTAGCTAAGGCTCCAGACAGTGAAATATACTGGAGATGGAAGCGAGGCAAAAAGTGAAACAAACTACAGCTTTAAAAATGGTTCGTGGGGAAAATTAATCTTAGGCGTGCTCTTTTAAAAGACAGAAATCGGCATTAAATTTTCAAGATATGCTAGCCCTCAGACTGGGAACACGCTCATTCAGTGGAGAAATCCCAGCCACAGCTGCTCAGGGTCCTCCTGCCTAAGCGAGGACACTTCCCTCTGTCAACTAGAGGAACTAGTTTGTGCTTCACAGATTTTCAGGAAAAGCATGAGTGAACCACATGGTTAGTTTTTGGCAAATTGAGCTCTTGATGTGGACAGATGTTGACTTTTCTTATTTTCTCACAAGATAGGCTTACAATGTTGACAAGGTAGACTTAAGAACACAGGACTCTATTGATATTTGTGTTTCTTACTGGAATACACTTTCTTTTTTAAAGCAAAGATGACCTTTGATTTTTCTGAGGAACGAAAACATCTAAAAATCTTGTCCCTTGGGGTATGTGAAATGTTCACAGAGCCCACGACCATGCCTGGGGATTAGTGAGGGCATTTCAGGAGGCCTTTGTTTCTGAAAACAAACAGCTGATGCTGAAATTCCTGGGATTCTTCAGTGGCAATAATAGCTAGCTTTGCATGAACAGAGTTTTCTGTTAAATCACAGATGATAATTCTTTGCACATGTAATGTTTTGCTTATAATAATCAATAGCTGCCACAGCGAGCCTAAAAAACAATTTCATTCATAGATTAATTTTTAAAAGCACATTTGAGAGGCATCTCTATGGTCAACACATTACAGAAGACTGGTTCAAACCCAAACCTTCACATTCCCAACATGCCCCGCCCCCCCCAAAAAACTTCTAAAAACTGCTAGCATACACCAGTAGAAAAAAAAAAGAAACAAAGCATGCAGGTTACTTAAAGGTTTTTTAGAAAAAGCAACTAGACTAGTGCCTTATTAATAAGCAATTAGTGCCCATGGCCTACACATGCCTGAGCATCCTACGAGCACTACTGATGCTAACATCCAGGTGTGTTAACTGGCTGCGTAGACATGCACCCCGGAAGCCACTGTCAGTCGTAGTCCTTCCTCTCCTAACAGGCTGGAGGAAAGGACTGATTGCCGCAGAGTTCCAGGATGGAGTGTCGCGACGTGTGCATCGAGTACCTTAGATCCAAGCCAGTAAGCCCAAATAACCGCAATAGCATGTTTATGCCTAGCCTCCTCCTTCAGCCGTGTCAGTTCCCTCCGCGCCTGTAGTGCATGTGAAAAGGAGTGACAGGAGAGTTTAAGGCAGGAGAGGTTACTGCTAGTCTCCAGTGGACAGAGAAGAAGACAGACACCGGTCACCGCCACACGTTCAACGCAAAAGCGTGTGCCACCACCCACACCACAATGCCAGAGAGAGCAAGAGGCAAACGTGTGCTTAGCAGCTCAAGCTAGTGGCACACTTGCTGCCCTGGAGGGTCCACACTCCATGAGGGTCCACACTCCACGCGCTCCTCCCATCCCAGCCCGGCGTCGGGGCTCCCACCTACCTGGGTCCCATGCCAGTAGGCCGCAATGGTCGTGACTGCTTCCTGGCAGCGCTTCTGATGCTTCAGTTCCCGCAGGATTTTTCGAGCCTAAGGCAGAGAATCGCCCAGAAAAAGAGAATGTTAAAAAAATGGAATTCCTAGTGACTTGAAAAAAATACCCAGGAGATGATGGTCTTGACACCCGTGCTCCCGTGAAACGTTAACGGCTTAAAGGAGCGGTGAAGATGGCCAGCTGCAAACTTAACTGTGACAAGATGGTCATGATGCACGAAGGTGCAGTTCCCACTCCAGATGGGGACCAAAGTCTCTCGTGCCCTGACACACAACAGGAAAGCTGAGACCACAGCAGTACTAGCAAGGACACATCAGGGAGGCAATAGTTCTCAGGATGTGGCAGAGAGATTTCCAACAATTCTCCCAAGTCCAAGACACCTCATTTATTATTACTGTCTGGAATATCACTATAGCTGTATTTTTTCTTCAAGAGAGATTTTAAAAAATTGTGGGGCAGGTGTGGTGGTTCACATCTATAAACTCAGTGCTTTGGGAGACCGAGGCAGCAGAATCACGTGAGCCCAGGAATTCAAGACCAGCCTGGGCAACATAGTGAGACTCTGTCTCTACAAAAAAAAAAGAAAAAAATAGCCAGATGTGGTGGCCTGTGCCTGTAGTCTCAGCTACTTGGGGAGGTTGAGGCAGGAGGAAATCCCTGAGACCAGAGGCTAAGATTGCAGTGAGCCATGATCACACCACCGTACTCTGGCCTGGGCAACAGAGTGAGACCCTGTTTCATACATAAATGTGAAAACAAAATGATCTCACTGGTCCCAAACCAGTGGCTTCTTTTCCATAGTTGCTGGAAGCTGATTTTGGAGGATACTGGTTTGAGGTGGACATCCTGCCTCTGACGTCTCCAGTCTGCTGACTGGGACCCGGGCCCAATAATAAAGTCAGAGAAAAACCTGTAGGTAGCAGTTTCACTTACTCTACATGCTCAGATTTGTTTTTTGTTTTGTTTTGTTTTTTGAATCATGGTTTCACTCTGTTGCCCATGCTGGAGTACAGTGGCACGATCATAGCTCACCACAGCCACGACTTCCTGGGCTCAGGCAATCCTTCTGCCTCAGCCTCCCAAGCAGCTGGGACTACAGGTATGTGCCACCACGCCCCGTTAATTTTTATAATTTTTTTTGTAGAGACGAGGTATCGCTGTTGCCCAGACTGGGCTCAAGTAGTCCTCCCACTTTGGCTTCCCAAAGTGCTGGGATTACTGGTGTGAGCCACCATGCCTGCTGGATTTGTATTTTAGTTATCTGGTGTGGGACAGCTACCGAGCCTTGGAGTATCCAGGCCAATCAATGCTGCTGGACCCGTGGCCCAGGCTCTACCCTCTGAAGAGGCTCCAGGCCTGGTACCACTTCAAGTGTCCCCTCTGGATTCAGACCATTCAAGAAACCTTTTTTTCCCAAAAAGTGCCAGATGACAAATACTTTGGGCTGTGCAGGTCCCACTGTCTCTATCATGGCCACCTACTCCACTATGGTAGCACCAGAGCAGCTAGCCAATCTGGAAAATGAATGAGTGTGGCTGTGTCTCAATAAAACTTTATTTGTGTACATTGACATTTGTATCTCATATAACTTCCACATATCATAAAATCTTTTTTTGTTAAACAATGGTTTACAAATATGAAAACCCTCCTTAGCTAGCAGGTTGAATGAAAACAGGCAGCAGGCTAGGTGCAGCCTGCCCGTGGGCTGTCATCCACTACCCCCAAACCATGCTTTGGCAAGATAAGCCTGGGACTAGGTCACCCACTGTGACAGCTGCTCACCTCCCGCCACAAGACCTGGCCAGAACTTGGGATCTTTTGCTCACGAAGGGGCAGCCCATAAGGTGGTCCCTGGACAGTTACAGAAGGCACTGGGCTGGGGGTGCAGAGTCCTGGCAAGACTAACAGGGACAAAGACACTGGTTGTAAAACCATCTTTGGGGCTACAGCTTCTCTTGAAAACATGAGGCTGGGGGAGACTGACATCACGTACGGGATTATTCTAAGGACTTCCTGCTTAGAGAACAAAGTTCTTAAAAAGAAAGCCGGTCAGAAGGAAGCCGCCAAGATGTGGTCACCGGGGCCCCTGCTTAGCCCAAAATATTTGTTTTTTCCATGTGACTGTTTACAAGCGAGGCAGGAGATGGAGGAGTGCTCTCCTGCAGAGTGAGCTAAAGACATCACCCTCTGTGAAGAACTCAAATAAATAAAGCACACTTTTTTTAAACTCACCTTCCAACCCCGGATGTAAGACTGAACTACCAAGGCAGAACTCTTTATCTGCTGGTACCGTTTTTGTTGCTGTGGGAATAAAGGGGACAATATCAGCAGCCGTGGTTACTTATCTGCAATGCGTACACTACAAGGAGTGAGAAAGGGTGCTTCACTGAATGCGACTGGCACGTAATTGTCCACACTCCTTCTGGAAACCAATATGTAAAGACACCCAAATACCAAGCAGTACAAATTTATCACAGTTGACCCAAAGTATGCTTCAAGGATGCTAACTATAGTCATTTCGTTATTACCACCTGTTCTTCATATAACAGGGGCCCACATACAGAAGGTGCTCAGTAAATGCACACTGAAAAAAGACACACTGAGTTCTGCATCTGCTGTGGCATGTTCTCTCTTCTGGGTGTCATTTCTCACCATGTTACTTACTGGGCCCACCTCAAATCTCACCAGTTCCTTCAGGTTTGCTCTTTTTCCTCTGCCTCAAGCTGGGAAATCAGTGAGAAATTTAAGCAAACTGATACCAATCGACTAGACATTTATGTATTGAACCCCTCCCTCGTAGAAAAATGACAGAACTATGAGGATATATACGTGGATCTGACTCTCTGCCCTCAAGGCCTTAAAGTGGACACAAGTTAATAGTGCAAAGAGTAATCAGCACCCTGGGATAGATGGACAGCAGAGAGCACACAGGCGGGCTCAGACGTGACAGGGTCACTTGTGGGTAGGGAGGGCGGAGAAGCCAGAGAGACTCCCAGTTTTGGCTTAGCAGGCTCAACGCCCAGAGGCCTTCCTTTCTGGCAGGGAGGAGGCCTCAGAATGAGAGTGGCTGCAACTCTCTACCCAGAAAAGTTTGAGCTGTTAGAACATTTAATTTGGAAGACACACCAGAACATGGGCATATCTGATTAAAACCCCCAGAATTCCACAAAACAAGGGTCACATTGTGATCTTTCTCTTTAGACATGCTAGATGGTGCATCTCCTGTTCATTGAGGGACAAGATGCCTTCCAAGAGTCCAGGCTACATTTTGGTAGGTCAGAGGTCATGGAGGGTGACATAATCAACAGATGGGTAGCAAAACAAAAGAGGATGCCAAGGAGAAATGCCAAGAGGACCCTGGGAACCCTGGGACCTCAGACATGCCACTCACCTCTGAGCCTCAGTTTCCCCATCTGTCAAACGATGAGCTGGGACACCTCTAAGATTCCTCCCAGAGTAATCTTCCATAGACATGTGAACAAGCTATGTCTATGATACCCAACCATCACTTCTGACATCTACTTGGTACCTCTATGTTTGCTTTTTTAATTTCTAAATGGCTTTAAAAGAACTGTATCTCACTTGAAAATTTATCTCCAGGAGTCATGAAATATCATGAAATATGGAATAATTTAAAAATAACTAGTAACTGAAAAAAAGCTTTCAGGAAATCCTTTGAGTTATATGAGTTTATGGAGTGAAAATAAAGAGTTTACTCACTGGCTTGAGTAGCATGTAGTTAACTGGCTGAGGTATATAGTCCAAATTTTAAAAGAGACAGAACACTAGACAAAGTTACTGCTTTCTCTAAAGCTGGGCTATTACTTGTTTTCATTCTACACATTAATATTGTTCCCAACTCGGCCATTGTGAATTAATGATACACGGTGGCTTTTTTTCACCTGGTAATGTAAAAGCTCTATATTGGGAGGGAGGGTGTACACAGAACTTGCTGTTCCTGGTTGCTTACATCACCTGTTCCTGGCCATCGTTCTGATCAGAGGCCCCTCCCAGAAGGTCTTCTGTGATTGCTCTACATGGAATTATAGCCAACTCCCTGCTACTCTATCTCCGTTCTTCATTTCCTTCCTAGCGCTTACAACCATTTGTCATTGTTCTGATTATTTATTTGCTTAAATGCATGCTGGACTTTAGGAAGTCAGGAATTAGGGTGTTTTGTCTTCACTGCTATTCCCAGAGTCTGGTAGAGCAGGTGTTTCAAATAATCTTTGCAGAATCCAAGATAGATAAATCTAGTACATCTGTCAACTTAGATTTTCTTAAAGACCCGAAAATAAGAAATGATAAAAGGGACTCCCAGAGGACTGGCTATTTAACACTTCTCCCTTTCTCAAGCAAAAGGAAAATGGAGCATCAGAGCTAGGCAGCATTGCTCAGCACAGAGGAGACACCATTGCCACCAGGCCAGGTGACGACAGTCCTTCGCTTCTTTGTAGAATACATCCGAATGTCTGTCACTCACGTGGCTGGACAGGTTCATACTTTAAGACTGATATGGGCTGGGCTCGGTGGCTCAGCCTATAATCCCAGCTCTTAGGGAGGCTGAGGCGAGTGGATTGCCTGAGCCCGCAGGTTCAAAATCAGCCCAGGCAACTTGGCGAGACCTCATCTCTACAATAAAATAAAAATTAGCCAGGCATGGTGGTGCGTGTCTATAGTTCCAGCCACTCGGAAGGCTGAGGTGGAAGGATCACTGGAGCCCAGAAGGTCAATGCTGGGGTGGCCGTGAGCGTACCTCATTAATTTCTGAATCATGGAAATAATACATTAAAATGTATGACATGAGAGTAACTCAGCATAAATTATGCCTTGATCACATACTGCCTTGTAGAAAGCCTCTCTAAAGCTGAAAAAGAAGATGGCAAAGGAGGTGCGAGTGCAAATGTAATTTATTTTCCCACTCATTCTGTAGGGCGACAGCAGAGAACGGAATGGAAAAGCATCTGTCAGCAGCCTTCTTCTCACTGCAGCTCACTGCGTGAGAACAACCTAAGTTCAAGCCTAGAGGCAAGCCGCAGGTTCCTCTCAAGTCCATGGTGTGCCTCACCTAACATCTACAACCAAGTGAGGAGGAAATTCCAAATAGAAATTTCTTATTCCTTAGGTAAACAGACTTGATTACTGAATCTTTCCCCGTAGTTAAAAGGGTCAGATACCAAAGGACTAAAGAAAATCCAGCCCTTGAACCAAAACCAGAATTCTGCTAAAACACGGCCTTAAGCTTTCTGGAATTAAAGCCATCTTCAATGCCGCACAATATAGGGAGAACAGTCAATCACTTTGTAAAATTGACCTAACCCCAGTCAAAAGGTGAAGTAGCATCATCTCTTTCAATCTGATGACCAAATTAAAGACACACATTTCCCACTCTGTATACCTAGATCAGGAGAAGGCAGTGCGGTATACTGAGCTTGGTCCATATACCAAGATCAAGGGAAGGCTGTGTGGTATACCGAACTTGGTCCACAGACGTAGATCAGGGGAAGGCTGCATGGTACACTGAGTTTCATCCACAGACCTAGATCAGGAGAAGACAGTGTGGTATCTGAGCTTGAGCTCAGAAACTATCTTGGGTTCAAATTCTAGTTATGTGTCCCCGTACAAGTCACCTAACAGTGAGGTGCCTTAGTTTTCTCATCTTCAAAAAAAGAATCATAAGAGCATGCATTTATCTCCTGAGGTTGTCGGGAGAATTAAATATGTAAAAACTACATACACGGTATACAAGTACCTAACCAGGACTGTCAAAGCAGCAGTGTTATGAGAGGTTAAAAGTGACGGCACCCGTACCGCGTATCTCCTGTACCAGGCTGCAACCACGACTTGGCTACTCTTCATCAGCAGGAAGCGCGTGCGACACTTCCAGCCCCGGTAGACCTTCTGGATGAGTGTGGCCAGGTCCTCGAGCCGCCGCTTCCTCAGGTCTTCCAGCTTGAAGAGCTGATAAAAAAAAATGACAGACGGACGTATCAAAAATCCTCTGTAGCCACACAGGGAGGGAATCCTCCAAAGATGAGACACCGTAATACCGGAAACCATCATGTTGAGGAAGAAAACTGAATCCTAACAATTGTGCGTACTATGGAGAGTGGCTCAGGAGAAAATTATTTTGATGAATTCATGAAAGATTCACAATTTTGACTCCAGTAATTCAGAATTTGTGACAAATCAGAGAGGGGGACGAATGCTCCGTTCCCTCCACATTTTGGATGAAGATGCACATGACTAATAAAACACAGATGCTGGCAGATTCTCTTCAACAATGTAAATACTTTCCAAAATCTGTTTCCAAATTACCTTTTAATTGCTACACTAATTCGACTTCATGCTCATTTATTCATTCCCTTGGGGTTCTATGAGGCAGAATGTTAAAGGTGCTCTTTCTAACTTAAAAAAGTTTTCTTTTTAATGCCTTCTCCTACCTCTAAATAATAGGACTGTGATTCCCAAAATTAATGTGTAATCCAGATATTACAAATACAGACTGAATCCGCCTGCCCTTGCTATGAATTGGGGAGCTTGTGTTGTTACAGTAACAGTTTCTTTATGATTTCCTAAACGTTGTAAAATAGTCCTTGAACTACCAGATCAATGACTTTGACAGTTCATAAAACATACACATTTCCCATTATCTGTTATCTGCCCTGTCCTCATGGTCATTTGCAGATAAATGTAAGAGTGTGGCGTTCATAGTAGCATCTCAGGTGATGTTATAAAGTTAAACAGCTTTTAAGAAGTGGCCTAAATGAGGCCGTGTGTGGTGGTTCACACCTGTAATCCCAGCACTTTGGGCGGCTGAGGTAGGAGGATGGCTTGAGCCCTGCAATTCGAGACCAGCCTGGGCAATATAGCAAGACCTCGCCTCTAAAATAAAAAAATAAAAAGTTGCCTATATGAATCTAACTTAATTTCAGAGCATAAACGTTTTGGTTACATACTGTTCTTGGGTTTCGAATGAATATCTTTGATCTACCAAAGGAGTATTCTTCCACAGGAATCTCCAGTTCATTAAACAGGACCTCCACACCAGACCTTAAGAAAATAAACAAGATAAAAACAATGAGTTTTCTGAGTTACAATAGCTTTTATATTAGCTTGTATCGTGATATCAGGTGGTTAAAAAAAAAATCACTTCATTTCCAAAGGTAACTACTCTTTCTGTAATCATCCTTCCATCACAGAATTCCCCAAGTTAACCCAAATCCAACAAACACTAAAAAAGTAAATCTGGGTTCAGAACAATGTATTCTAAGGAAATGTGGCATCAAAGTCAATTTCTGGACTTCAAAGAAGAGGCAATTCTTGCGTCAAACTTCCTCATCATGATATCCCAGCCAAGGCCAGGATGGCGTGTAAGAAACTCACAACTACCCTGAACCCACTCAGTGAGTTCCTGAAAACATTGTAAACATTGTTCCTGCCCCTAAGAGAGTGGGCAGGTCCCAAGAAAGAGTGTTGAGTGCCAGGTCAGCAAGGCGCTGGAGAACAAAGGTCTTACATGGCAGGAGCAGGGCTGGACTTGCTCTGGTCTCTCCATCCTGGACCCCGGTTTTGACATCAATTTTTTTTTTTTTAGTAGAGATGAGGTCTTGCTATGTTGTCCAGGCTGATCTGGATGTTCTAGCCTTCAAGCAGTCCTCCTGCCTCAGCCTCCTAAAGTGCTGGGATTAAGGCGTGAGCCACCACGCCTGGCTATATCAGTCTTTAAAACTAAATCTTGGCAGAGCATGGTGGCTCACACCTATGATCCCAGCACTTTAGAAGGCCGAGGTAGGAGGATTACTTGAAGCCACAAGTTTGAGGCCAACCTGGGCAACATAGAGACCTCGTCTCTACAAAAAGTCAAAAAATTGGCCCGTGTGATAGTGCGTGCCTATAGTCTCAGCTACTCAAGAGGCGGGTGGGGGGAAGGATCACCTGAGCCCAGGAAGTCAAGGCCGCAGTGAGCTGTAATCAAGCCACTGAACTGCAGCCTAGGCAACAAAGCGAGACCTTGCCTCAAAACAAAAACAAAAAAACACACAAAAAAAGAAAAAAAAAACTAAAAAGACAAATTTTGCTTCACCAACCTAGACCAGACACCAGACAGGGAGTGAACACACATTCCGTATTATGGTACACATTTACCATGATACCCTGGAAGTCAGCAGTGGGAACTGGAATAGTACCTAGATCCCACATGCTGCTTCACTTAGGCATTAGAGACCATACACTATGCCTGGAGCTTCTAGATCTTCTTACAATGCAGAGTGAGTGTCTTAATACCGGTGATGTTCCCGTAGAAGGTCAGGACACAGATCATGTGGGGCGATACCAGTGTAGTGAAATGAAATCCCCAGTTCTTGCCGAGGTCCATGAAGCAGGCATGCCGGTCCTCTGGTAGTATTCAGGGGAAAGCATCTACACTCGCAGAGAAAGGGCACCCTCTCTAACTGGCAAGAGCAGAAGGCGGTTGTTGATAGGCCAGGCTGACTTCTCTCCTGCAGTGGCGGCCGCCAGTCCACAGGTCTCTCTGCACGCAGGACAGCTTGCAGGGCTTGAGGAAGCTCAGCAGGATGGGCCTGCAGTGTCCAGCACTATCTGGGTCTGGATGGGTGAGTACATTCAGGGCAGACCACTAAAGGCCAAGTCCAAGCCACATTCTCCAACCCAGCTTCCTTAGCAATAATGCTGAGACTATGAATCCCATCAGCTCCTGATACCTGTATCTCAGCTGGTGCAGACCTAGGCAAAGAGGGGTACCCAAGCCAGGCATGGTGTCTCACGCCTGTAATCCCAGAACTTTAGGAGGCTGAGGTGGGAGGTTCACTTGAGCCCAGGAATCCAAGTCCAGCCTGGGCAACACAGCGAGAACTTGTCTTTACAAAACAAACAAGAGTGGGCCCGTTCACCTCTACCCAATGACTCTTCCTGGGGACAAATTTCTGTGAAAAGTGACAAGCTGAGAATGGTGGATACTCCAATATGCCTACAACTCTCCCCTTCTGTAATTCTACACAAAGACAGTAAGTCTTCTACACACAAACCTTCAAGTTGCGAACTTTCAAAGATGTGCGTTCATATGTCCAATAATGTAAGTTAGTTCATGTGTCTGACATACGTCGCCACATGTGTGCATCCTCTACAAGTGGTTGTGCTTTTGTGTACTTTGCTGTACAGTACTGCATAGGCTATAGTACAGTATTTTTATGCCAAGCCCAGGATGTCTGGAAGCAAGTATAAAAGCAGCAGACATGTTGCTGGTACTGTACTACTGAAAGTGTACTTTTCAAGGCACTGTATTATAAGGTTAAAAAATGTTCTCTTTGTTTTTTGTGACTGTTTTCTATTTATTATTCGTGTGAAAAGTATTATAAACCTATTACAGTAGAGTACTACATAGCTGATTGTGTTAGCTGGGTACCTAGGCTAACTCTGTCAGACCTATGAACAAATTGGACTTACAGATGCGCTCATTCATATGTAGGGGACTTACTGCATACATATAAAATACAGATTACCGCCTACATGCTTATGGTAGGCATAGTTTTACAATTTTATTATCAGACAAGTTCCAAATATAGATTTATCTCTTTTTATTTTGGGGGGACAGGGTCTCATTCTGTCACCCAGGCTGGAGTATAATGGTGCGGTCATAGCTCACTGTAGCCTCAAAGTCCTAAGATCAAGTGATCCTCCCATGTCAGCCTCCCAAGAAGCTGGGACTACAGGCATGCACCACTACGCCTGGCTAATTTTGTAATTTTTTTTTTGTAGAGACAAGGTCTCACTAGGTTGCCCAGGCTGATCTCAAACTCCTAGATTCAAGCAATCCTCCTCCCTCAGCCCCCCAAAGTGAGTCATCATGCCTGGCCTCTCAAATGTGGATTTAATAAGTGCTGTTTTGACCTTCAAGAAAATCGAGACCTCTATAAATAACCAAGAATTAGGACAAAATGATATTGTAGGAGAAGAGGGTCCAAAACAGAGGTTATACCAAATTTTCGAAGAATTCTCTTTTGCCTAACAGCATGTGGGAAAAAATGCATTATTTGCTATACTTAAGATATTCATTATTAAATATGGTCCACGAATTTCTTACCTGGCTGGTCCTTTCCAGTGAGGCCATGTTTGTTTACAAAGCATTTTGTATCTTTCCAGGCAAGGTTCATAGGCCTGCCTGAAGGCATAGCCTGCCCTCCGCACGCGGACATTCTCTAGAAGGCCCAAGTATCTGATCTGATGGCACACCAGAGCCTCATTGAAGATGTGGGCAGCCTTTTTATCATTTGGTTTGATACACCTAAGAGATTACACAGATTCAGTCTCATCTTCTGCCTCTCATGGGTGTAACTATCCATGTTTTACAAAGTATTTTATGTACAATCATTTCACAATAACATCATCATTTGTTATTCTTGGGAAGCCTAGTCATTTCCTTTGAAATTATTTCACATCATTTTACAACCACCCAAAAATAAACACACATTGCATATGTAGCTATCTAAAAAAAGAACACATGCAACACCACGGATGAGTTTCTTTGACATCTCATCGGGCAAAAGAAGTCTGACCAAAGAGAACATGTGGCATGATTCCATTTACATGAAGTTCAAGCCAAACGAATCCATGGTTAGAAATCAGTGGTGCTGTTACTTCTGGAAAGAGGTAGTGACGGGGACTGACATGGAAGGGGCTCAAGGGAACCTTCTGGAATGATGGAAATGTTTTACATCTTGGGCTGGATGGGATAACACAAGTGCGTATGCAAGTAAAAATTCAACAAGCAGCCAGGCTAGTAGCTCACTCCTGTAATCTCAGCACAGTGAGACTTCATCTCTACAAAAAAATTAAAAACTTAGTTGGGCATGGTGGCACGTGCCTGTAGTACCAGCTACTTAGGAGGCTGAGGAGGAAGGATCACCTGAGCCCAGGAGGTCGAGGCTGTGATAATCCATGAGTGTGCCACTACATTTCAATTTGGGCAAAAGAGGAAGACTCCAACTCACAAAAAAAATCAACAAGCTCTTCAATTAAGATCCATGCACTTTACTGTATAGAAATCATGCCTCATCAAAAAAGATTAAAAAACCCTGTTGCCTCCCTGTGTTTGTTCTTTTTAACAGGACATGTGCTGCCCAGGTAACGACTACACTTTCCAGAAGCCTTTGCAGGCAGCTGTGGCCAGCTGAGCAACTGCTAGCCACTAGGATCAGAGGAAAGGAATGTCTGTGTTTCTGCCTGGTCCTCTCCTGCTCACTGCTGGCTATGGATACTGACATGGAGGCAGCCATCTTTGACATGTTGACGAAGAAAACACCCCAGAAATGGCAAAGCTGCAAAACAGAAGGAGCTGCCATAGCAGCCCTGGTGCCTTCACACTTAGACGTGATACAAGGATAAAATATCCATCTTATTTAAGTCATTGTTAGTTTTGGATCACATTGCAGCAATCCTGTGTCCCATAATACAATTATTAAACATTCACGATTGCAACTATCTAATGACAAATGTCAAGTAACTGTACACTTACACAATAGGTGAACAATTACATCTTAGCCAGTTTGGCCTTGGTATTTTGCTTTTCCTTTTACCATTTATAAAAATAATGTCTACACTTTGACTTAAAAAGGTAGACAGATCAATGAGACAGCCTACTAAGTTCAGAGCCCTACATATGAGGAGGGACCCCCAAAAAACAATTTATTTTTTTAAAATTGTGTATAGATTCTTATAGGTTTAAACTTCAGTCACCTTCAAAATACTCTCCATTTGGTGCAATACACCTATCAAGATGCTTTTTCCACTGCTCAAAACAGTTTTTGAACTCATCAATTTCAATGCCTCTTAGAGCTTCTGCTGTTTTTTGTTTCACCTCTTCTATGTTGGCAAAATGTTTCCCTCTTTGAAGACTCTTTTCATTTGGGGAAACAAACAAAAGTCGCTTGGGGGGAGATTGGGCAAATAGGGAGGGTGGGGTGTGGGGTCACCCCGTATTTGGTCAAAAACTGTGGAACACTCAGGGCCTAGCAGGCAGGTGCACCATTATGGTGGAAGCACCAGTCACTTGTTTGCCACAACTTAGGATGTTTCTTCCGCAAATCGTGATACAAACTTCTAAAAACTTCTAGATAAAAACTCTGATTGACTGATCTGAAGAAAAAAATTCTAAGTGTACTACAAGTGGCCCACCCTCTAAAAGATAATCCCAGGTATTTTTGCCCCCCACCATATACATTCAACTGATTATCATCAAAGCCAAAATGAAAAAATGAAAAATAAAAATAAAAGAGGTTATTTTATTTTCAATATGGTGGCAGATCAACAGGATATCTAAATGGGGGGAAAACAGACCTAAACATGAAATCTCAAACTACAAAGCTTCTATCAGAAAATACATGATAACATATACTCACAAACTTGGGGTTTATTAATTAAGATTTCTTAGAGAAGATGCAAAAACCACAAGAGGAAGGTGAATTAAAGAACTTTCTAAGGTGATGGAAATGTTTTATTTCTTGACAAAAGTAACTACAGGAAGTTTCTTTTTGAAAATAAGATCCTCTCCAATGTAAGTTCTAAGCTGACTGCAATCAAACCAGGAAGATTTCGCCTACTTATATTTCTACTAATATAAGTATCAGATAAACAAGCCAAGCACAAAAATGTTCTTCATTCTAGTTTCCTCATAACTGAAGTTTCAAAAACAACTGTAGAAGCTGTTTGTGGGTCTGGCATGCTACCTGAAACCTGACCCATCAGACACACACCTTCTATTATCTGGTTCCCCAAATACACACATGGCAAACTCTAATCCCAGTTGGTCTTTACTGAACCTTGACAGAGTTTTATCTAAGGTGCCACGGAAGCAGGAAAAAGAGAGACCAAGACTTTTAAGTTGTTGCCTTGAGAACATCTAGGTTGTCTTAGGAAGCATTACTTTCCCCAGGCCCACACCACTCACAGGGAGGAAGAGGCCCACGACTCCTAGCAAGCACCAGATCTGTAACTACAGCCCCACTTGCTCGGCTCTAAGTTAAAATAGAAGAATCCAAAATGAAGCCAACAGAAGAGTTTTCTGCAAAACTCTGACCAGAAAAAACATTTACATTTTGTTTCTTAACTTATTAAAAAAATTGAAACATACAGAAAATTGAAAACCTCTGGATGCCAACCCACAAGCTTCATTTCGTATCCGTTATCATTCCCCACTTTTTTTTCCTTCATTTTTTTTTTTTTGCTATCTTATTTTTTAGGCCAATCCCAGAAACTGCATGATTTGATCTGTAAGTACTTCAGTTATCCTCTGCATGGGCTACACTCAGATTTAAGGAGACGGGAAAACGTGATTCCTTCAGAGTGTGCTCACACTCGAGGTGTCGAAGGATTGTATGCACCAGCAATACCTGATATAGTTTGGGTTCTTGGTCTGCAGGTTCTTCATCAGAGTGGCAACGGACGCCTTGAACTGTGAACCAGCTGTGGGAGGCCTTTTCAGGTTGATCTTGGCGGGGTTCCCTTCGGGGAACAAAGACTTGATGAGGGCATGGCTGGCCTTCCACATGGCTTGGGACAGGTCTCGGTAGAGAAGGTCATTGTTTTTGTCAACAAAGCCTTCTACCTGGTACAGCACCTACGGACAACACAAGGAACTCAACAGCTGGCACGCCGCACACGCTAATGTCAAACACCTATCAAAAACTCTCCCAGTCCAACTACATCATAGTCCCTTCCCTCACCATAAACAAGTCCCCAGCGCACCACCACTCTCTCATACCAAGTTTGCCTCCAAGTTTAAATTCCATCTGTCTACATTGCAGAAGAGATCAAAATAAATTCTATTACCATTCAGGATTTGCAAGAATAATCTCCAAAAATGTTATCATAACATTTTCAAAGGAGTTGGGATTTTTTTGGTGTTTGAATATATTTTGAGGTTTCACTTTTATTTTTTAGCTCGCATGTACTAATTCTAGTCTGTTTAAAAGTAGACAGGGGAAAATAGAAATAACAGTAACATTTTTATAGATACCCTGAAGCAGCAGAGAAACTAATCAGAAACGTTATCTTTTCATAATATGGGTTAATAGAAAATAATGAGCTACCAAGTCCTAACATTTTGAAATTAAAGGTAATTTAGATACTACACACTTAATTTTTTTACAAGTACATAATTAAGAACTTTGAAATTTGTAATCTTATAAGAAAGGAAGTATTATTCTAATTAATAATCTTTTGGGATTCTAAAAACAAATCATTTGCCAAGTGCTTTGGACTATCTTTAGATATTAGAAGACATAAGATTAATTCCCTTGATTAGTAATCAAATTAGTGCTTTTTAAAAAAAGTAGATGTTTTCTATGTTGTTTCAAAACCTCAATCTAAGACTTCATCATTTTTGCTAAATGTCTTGTGCTTTTAAAACTTTATTTGAAGTCTTTAGTGCCTCCTAATTTTTACTGGCAAATCTCCTTTATTAGTGTTGGCAGATATTTTTTATAGGATAGCTTAGAGCTTGAAAATAACAAAATTGACTTTTAAAGTTTATTTGGACTCTTCATTAAGCCCACTGGCTTTGCTTTCGGTTCTTCATGTTGTTAGAAAGATTTTGTTAATTCACGGTCCAGATTCTATTTCTATTGGACATGAACTAATCCAAGTATCTCAGCAGCCCGACTTGACCTCCCGCATTGACAGCGCCAGGCATTCTCTCTCCAGGCGCGGCGGGGACCTCCCAGCTGCCTGTACCTTGCCAGCATAGTGTTGGATCCGGAAGCAGCTGTGGGGCAGGGTCGTGTCGTTGAGGAACCTGGAGCACTTGCTCATCCTGCTCTCAAAGTGCTGGTGGGTGGCGCAGACTTGGTTGAGCTTTTCTAGGAAGGTCTCGTCGGTGACTGTGCCGGGCCGCAGGCATTCTTCATCCAGCATGGCCAGGATGCCATTCGTGTTCTGGGAGAAAGGAAATAAAAAAGGTTCCTTCCTTCCTCGTTGTATTGTTTCAATAATTATTCCTAATTGCACATCAAACACAACTTAGTCATGAGAAAATTCTCTTCATTTACAATGAAAAGCTGAGAGTCAAAACAACGAACAAAGGCCGTACAAATCAGCCCCTTTCCAGAGGGTCTCAGGTGTGCATGCTGGGGACAGGGGGAGGGTGTCTGTCTCAGCTCAGCCTGTAATCCCACACCTTGGGAGGTCGAGGTGAGTGGATTGCCTGAGCCTGCAGGTTCAAGACCTGCCTGGGCAACTTGGCGAGACCTCATCTCTACAATAAATCAAAAATCAGCATGCGCCTGTAGTCCTGGCTACTTGGAAGGCTGAGGCAGAAGGATCGCCAGAGCCCAACAGGTTGAGGCTGCAGTGGCTGGTAGCGTGCCACTGCACTCCAGTCTGAGCGACAGAGTGAGTCTCCAACTCAAAAAACAAACAAAAAAACTGTTGGAAAAAACAAGTTAAACCTCAAAGATTCAAACAAATCCAAAAGTCACCAACTGCTGTGACAATACAGTCTCCACAACATGCTGTCACCAATCACAAAGCACAGTCTTCTAAGGCCATTACTTGATTCATACTTAAGAAGAAAATCGGCTGGCCAGACACAGTGGCTTATGCCTGTAATTCTGGCACTTTAGGAGGCTGAGTAAGGAAGATTGCTTGAGCCTAGGAGTTTGAGAGCAGCCTGGGCAACACGTTGATACCTCATTTCTACAAAAAATAAAAAAATTAGCTGGGCGTGGTGGCACCTGTAGTCCCAGCTACTAGGAAGGCTGAAGCAGAAGGATCCCCTGGGCCCAGGTCAAAGCTGCAGTGAGCTGTGATTTTTGTCACTGCACTCCAGCCTGGGCAACAAAGGGAGACTCCAATTCAGAAAAAAAAGAAAAAAAGGAAATGTTTCCAAATTGTTCATGTGTTCAAAACTAAGTTTATTTTCTAGGAAAAAAAAGCTGTCATTTGGGACGCTGCTCTTAACGATCATTGCAATCAAGTTCTTTTCAAGAATATCTGTTTGGAATAAGATTCTTGTTCCATATAGAACTTCTAAATGGATGTTAAACATAAGCAAAAATGAACTGGTTGCACATTCAGGCTCTGTAATCATATCTATCCCCATAGCAGTCAGCCCTAAACTGAACCAGAAGTCAGGAAGCTCCTGCTTTGCTAAATAAAGGTGGCGGCTCCTTGGATTCCCCTGCAGGGCCATCAGTATTAATTCCAAAAGCAGTCCATTCCACTGCCATCAACCCCACCCACTTCCACCAGGGCCAAGTTCCCCGTTCCTCCCTCGCTCACAAGGCTGTGACATCCTCTGACCAGCGTTTATTCATTCCACACAAAACCCAAGGGAAGTATGGGCTCTCGGGAATCGAGTGTGTTCACAACATCCGCAGAATAAACATGATTGTTTAATGATGTCAGGAGGAAACGCTTCCTCCGTGCACCCAGCTTCCTATGTGAACATGTGTTTCTACAATCATACGTGCAAGGGGAATCAGGGGCTGAGATAACCTAGTTAAATTAAGGGTATTACTAGGGCTCTAAATTTTTTTCTCCATTAAAGGAGACACATTGTGTCAAATTACTTCCTTCTTACAGGAAAATAACTAAGCATGCTGCTGTGTTTATGCAGGAAAATGTGCTAGTCAGAAATTCTGAAAATTAAAGTTCCCACAGCAAATTTCTTTACAAAATTTATAAGGCGATCCACTGATTTTCTGGATTTTAGACTAGAGTTTTGAAAGCCTTATGTGAATATTCGTGTTCTCATTCTAACTTGTTCAGATTTTTCAAAACCATGCTGTTTTTTAACTGAAAAAGTGATGCTTTAATATATCGTTTTTAATGTCCAATTTAATCAAAGATGAAACTTTCAGGCATATCTTGAATATTACAGAAAAAAATTACCAGCTAGTTACATAATTTCCAAAAAACTTGTTAAAGATGAATAGAAAATGATATGAGGGAGGGAACCAAAAAAGTCCCAGAATTATCTTTTGGAGGGCAGGCTTCTTGTAGTACAGGCTTTCCCCACTCAGTAAGTGTTCTAGGAACCCACTGGCATCAGTGTACCAGCTGGCATTGTTGTGAGAGGTGGCGCTGCGCTTCAATGATTTTTTTTTTGGTGAAGATTCTTTCAAACACATTGTCCATTTCATGATGAGTGATTTACAAGCGCCCTTGCCCACACCTGCTTAAGAGTGTTCAGCAGTTTTTGACCCAAAATAGCATGATCCCCACGCCCCATCCTCCCTATTCACCCAATCTCGCCCCCCACCAACTCTTTTTGTTTCCCTGGATGAAAAAAGTCCTCAAAGGGAAACATCTTGCTGATGAAACAAAAATCGGCAGAAGCACTAAAGGGCATCCAAATGGATAAGTTCAAAAACTGTTTTCATTAGTGGAAAAAGCATTTTGATAAGTGAACCACATCAAATGAAGAATACTTTGAAGATGTTAAATGTGTAAGAATACACAATTTTTTTTTCTTTTTGAGTTGGAGTCTCACTCTGTCGCCCGGACTGGAGTGCAGTGGCCGTTCCCGGCCACCGCAGCCTCGACCTGTTGGGGTCCAGTGATCCTTCCGCCTCAGCCTTCCAAGTAGCTGGAACTACAGGCACACACTACCACGCCCAGCTAATTTTTGATTTATTGTAGATGAGGTCTCACCAAGTTGCCCAGGTGGGTCTCGAACCCACGGGCTCAGGCAATCCACTCACCTCAGCCTCCCAAGGTGCGGGATTACAGGCTGAGCCACCGAGCCCGGCTACAATACACAATTTTTAATAAATAAATTTTTGGGGGGGTTCCCCGCTCATACATTTAGATCCTGTGCTGCTGTACCAAAACACAGTGCTCACCTACCACTTACTGCTAAAGAGACTGTATGTAGGCCAATAAAGTTTACGTACTGCCTCAATCTACCTGATCAAGGTCAGGAGTATTAGTAACCTCAAGAATACAACAAAGGGTTTCCTGGCTTTCAAACACAAATCAGTCTCAATTAATTCATTTATAATAAACTATAGAATATAATGTCAAAAACAAAAATCTTGGATTCGGAAGCTTATTAAAAACTACCCAACAGTTTTTCACACTTGAAAGCATTTTCATATACACATACTTGGGTCATCTGGAAAGTTCTGGGGTCCTCAGCTACCCGTGGTCACAGATGCGACACCCTTGTGAATCCTCTCTGAATGAATGCAAGATCTATACCTGAGACAGTTCAGCGGTCCCATGCAATTCTGCTCCAGAGGTTGTCCCTTTGTGAACAGTATCTCAATGTGAACAGTATGTTAAGATGTCACTGAGTTTTAGAAATGGAATAGATATTTTGACTTGGCAATACTCCCCAGAGCTACGGTCTGGATCTGGACTCCAGTCGCACAAGAAAGGCTGGTACATACAGGACCCAGCATCGGAAGGCCATAAAAGGGTTCTGTTTTACGACAGCAGGATGAGCATGGGGGAACCTGGTAAGTATCCAAATGTCCAGCTGCCTGTGCATGTGTTCAAGAACCGTGCATGGTCTCTTAGGGCTACAAGAAAGTCTCCAGAGCTCTGTAATTCCTTTTTTTAAAAAAAGTGCAAAATAGTGAAATTACTAATGCTTCATGTCGAGGGCAGTGAGACCATTGGTAGGTGGTGAATTCTATTACTAAAAAGTCCTTCAGGAAACTATACCAAGTACTCACATTTTCTATAAGGTCACAGATGATAGCATTATTGAAGTAGTCAATGTGAGTCCACTCTATATCCTAAAAATAAAGCACAACAAGGTCAAGTCTCACATGATGAAGCCACAATGCTACCATCCACAAAACAGACTCTGCCCATGTTGCTCTCTTCCACTACCTATCTGAATTTATTGCTTTACAGAATCAGTGCTGCAATATCATACTTGGTTTCCAGAACTTTCTCAACGCCATAGACCAGCCCTGACATGATCTGGCTGCAGTGTGTGCCCTTGGCCTGCCCTGAGTCTGCCTCCCTGTCCACGCTCCCATCTGCGGTGATTTCCCATGCATGTTGCTGGCCCTGAGCCCAACCCCTACTCCACAGGTCTTGGGTCAATATTACTTTGTGTATATTTACAGTGTTTATAAGGAAATCGGCTAGAACTTGATCTCAAGAATTTAAGGCCTAGATTTTTCTGTTCTTAATTTGTAATCACAGGGAAAAAATTATTTTAGAATCAATCTTGTACTTAGGAAAGTTAACTATTTCAAGGGTAAGTAAAGGCCAGTGCTAAGACAGTATTTTCAACGAAGACACTACAACCTACCACTGGCTCTCATGTCTGCTGCAAAGTCAAGTCTGTAAGGCCAAATGTAATCTTTCTGTGTCTGCTTATACTTTGTCCATAGTGTAAATATTTATTTTTCTTCTAAGGGGAGGAAATTAATTCATACAGCAAGTTAGGAGCCTTCCTATATATTCTTAAAAGTGTTTTAGACAATCTGTACCAATTGTTTTAAATGATACATCAAAGTCTGGGCATTCTCTTTATGATGAGAAGACAGGAAGAGAAGGAATCTTGCTTTGAGAGTATTTATGCTACCAAAAGTTGCCAGACAAGTATAAAACATCTTTAACATGTAGCGAACATTCTAAAATGAAGATGAAATTTTTATTATTTAGCTTTAGAGTAAATGGGTTGTTTCACTGGAATAACAAATCACACATTAGAAAAATCTATATTGAGATATCAAAAAAAAAGAGTTCAATGTCCTTAATGCCTAAAAATGACACTATAGAAAGAGGAGGAAAAATAGTGATTAACCAAATGCACAAAAAGGAAAAAAATATAAATATGATAAAATAATTCCTCCCTTTTTATTTTGTTTGAAATAACTAAATGAGATAATCCAATCACAGCATTAACTAAGATCTTGGTATGTAGTAAGCATTCAATAAACCTCTTATACATTTTGAAAAATCAATGCTTTCTGAGATTGAGCAAGGCTTCAAAATATTTGCAAATCTACTTACATCAATGACGACTTTTTTGGTGCACCACTCTCTAAGTATTGACAGATAGAGTCACACAGTATACAGTTTTCTGTATCAGGTTTCTTTCACTTAGCACAACACATCTGAGAACCACTCATCCTACTGTGGGTATCAACCACCCATTCCTTTTCATGGCTGAGTAGTAAACCATTGTATGCATATAGCACAACTATGTGTTTCTTCATTTCAGATTATTTTCTTAACACACTACTGTTGTACATCATTATACATGTAGTAGGTGCTCTGTAAATACCAGTTGGCAACCTCTATTCTCACTGGAATCCAATGAGAATAGAGGTTGCCAACTGGTATTTACTGAGCAGCTACTACATGCCAGGTATGTTGCTGGGGCATAGGGTACAGTACCAAAGAAAATCTCAGCTTAGACGTCACACCAAACACATTTTTAATAGACACAGTCTGATTAAACTTAAGACACATCTGACTCCAGGATCACATGTAGAATGTCTTCTGAGTCCAGAATTTATAATATGAGTACAAAAGGACCAGCATTCTAAAAAGTATCTCAACAGGTACTTGGTCTACTATCACGAGGAGAGAGGGCCTGCTAGAAGCCCAAACTGCATCTGCATGCAACCTGTTTATGTAGTAAACCCCCACAACTCTAAAATTAAAAAAAAATAAAAAGCACGTCCACCTTACCTCCCGTACATACTCCTCCTGCTCTTCCTTAAGAGTCAGTTCAATGAAGATCTGTTGCAGCTTTTCATTACAATAATTAATAATGAACTGCTCAAAGCTGTTGTCCTACATGGAAAAAAAAAAACGAACAAAGCCTTACACACCATGCTGCTAGCTCGCTCACGGCAATGACACTCAAACACCTCAACCCGTGAGAAACGCCACACATGGTCTTTCAGATCTAAACACAACCCAGCACACGGCTCCCAGGACAGATGCTTGCTCGCTGCAGGCATTTGAGGAGTGGGCACAAGTAATTGAATGAATGAAGTATACACAAATGACACAGCATTTGAAGGAGAAAGATCTTTAACTGACAGAGAAGCACCCTTCATATGGTTTCAAAAAGAAATTTCCTGAAGGATCAGCAAAGACACGTGAGATTCACAATCTCTATCACTAGGTTCTTGATCTTCCACTCTCAGGTGAAACTTCAAAGCTCAAGAAAACCTCCTGACCTCTTATTCCCCCACCCTGGGTCAGATCCCTCACTCCGACTCTTACATCCTGGCCCTTTTTATAAAATATGTTACACGGACATATGTGTATACAAGTCTACACATGTATAGGTCGGTTTCATATCCATCTGTTTCCTTAGACCGTACACTGTCAGCCATGAGGTTGACCATGCTCTCTTGCTCACCGATTCCCACGCCTCACACCTAGCAAGTACTCAAACTCAATACATCCTGGATGAGTGAATGGATGAATGAATGAAGTTCCTACCAAAGAGAGACCCAAGGGAGTTAAAACATTAAAAGCTTTTCCCTAGCTAGAAACAAGCTCACTCTTCTCAGAAGGCACATACCCTCATTATCAAGGAGGCTCATCAACCTTTCCCTCACATTAAAGCGAACTCTTCTGAGAGAAGCTCCACACCCAAATCATTTCTGAACAATCCACAGGGCTTAATGTACTGCTGCACAAACTGAGGGCACAAAATACATGTATGTTTTACCGAGAACCACACCATCCAGGAAGAGGTTGGTCCGGCAGCACTAAAATTTGTTATTTTCACCTCTATTTTCTTTCCTTGCCAAGAAAGGGTGTCACTAAAGCAAAGGACAGTATGACCCTACCACTGATCAACAGCTCTCCACCCACTGAGGTGGCCAGCCCTGGACTCATGAGCAAGGAAGGTCCACAAATAATGTATCATCAAAGCTCACTGCTCTTCATGAAGACGCAGAGCAACTGGCCTTCAAAATCCCTCCGTCAATGGCAAAAGCAAAAAAAGTCATCGTTTTTTGAAAGTTGATCTTTTAAAATCAACTCTGTCGTACCTAGGAAAATTTTAAGATGATACTTGTGATGCGCATCTGACCACATTCTTTCCTGGAAGCCAGTTAAGGATTTCTAATCACCAACAATGAAGTGATCAGAGGAAATGCTGAACTCAAAACCATAAATGACACATGTAAATATACTAGCATGACTTATCTTGCTAACGCTAAATTTAGTCAAGGATAAAAGTTTGTTTTTCTTCAGTCCTGAAGGGTCTCACTAAAGGGCAAACATTTATTTTCAATACTTTCAACAAATACAGTCTTCGACACAAAGGGCATTCCTCAGTACTCATTTTCACACACATTTTTAAAAGTCCTGTGCTCAAATACTCAGAGCTAATATTTTGGGTAGTGGCTGAAGTCAGTCTGTGTATAGACGCCTTGTTATTGTCATAATCACCATAAAGTCATTTTGTACATGAGAAAATCAAGACTTCTTATGTGGTAAAATATGCAACTACAGCAAATTAAAAACTTAAAATTTTAATGGCTTATGTGAGCAGATCCTTGTTTTACAAAACAAATTCATGGAATAAATCTTTTCTGCTATTTGGCAGTCTATGCCCAGGAAGTACTTCAACCCAAGTCTGCTAAATCATCAAATGTCAATTAATGAGGAGACAGGTAGAGAAAGTAAGGAGTGTCCTCAGACACTTGTGTGGCTATGAACAGTTTGAAGCACACTTCTCAACAGGACTATGAAATACACACAAGCAGATTAGAAACCAGAGGCAAAGCTTCACAGTTACAACACCACCTTAGGACTAAGCAAGAGCTAAGTTAAATTTGCCTTTAACCTTTACAAATTCCTGTGTGAATTCTGTATTTCATAACCACACAGTTGACCACTATAAAACTCACGCGGCTAGAGAAGCGGTTAGCACAGAAGCATGCAACAGACTGCACTGCAAACAGTTCATACTTACTGCATTCTGGCGCCAAAAGGGACAGATTATACAAAATGCAGTCAGTTCTTAATTAGCAACAAAATTCTAGAAGTAAATACTTATTGATAGTTATTCATTGTTACACATGACAGTTTTTACCATTTGGGCTCTATTTTTGATTGACATAAAACTTTGGACCAAGACACATGTCTGATCATTTCAAAAGATGGAACCACAAGATCTCAGACCTCCCCATGGGATCTGGATTGTGGTCCTGCCAGGGGAGAGCTACTCAGGATAAAAATGGTTTGACTGAAATAACAAGTAACCATGTAAGCTGCCTAAAGCTTTGTGGTTTCAGAATCCAATGCTTCTAAATTCTATATCATCTGGAAAAAGATGGCATGTAGGCCATCTATTCAAGGCTCACATCTACCCAAAGAAAGAGTCGGGGCAGATGGCAGATCCCCAAACAGTGAAAAGATCCGTGAAGACCCAGGAGTATCTGCCCTTTCCTGCTCCAGTGACCCACCTCTGTGTGCTACTACACTGAGCCTCCCCTTCGAAAACCAACAAGGCAGCTGAGCATGGTAGCTCACACCTATAATCTCAGTGCTTTGGGAGGGTGAGGCGGGACGATCACTTGAGGTCAGGAGTTCAAGACCAGCCTGGGCAACATAGCAAGACCCCACCGCTACAAAAAGCAAGCCAAAAAATTATCTGGGCCTGGTGGCACCTGCCTGTAGCCCCAGTTACTCAGGAAGCTGAAGTGGGAGGATCACTTGAGCCCAAAGTTTGAGACTGCAGTAAGCTATGATTATGCCACTGCACTCCAGCATGGGTGACAGAGTGAGACTTCATCTCTTAAAAACAGAAACAAAAACAAAAATACTAAAGTGGTAAGGAGAGAGTATTGTCCTTGTGATGGCCTAACAACAAAAACTTCACTCTCCAACCTTATTCTGCTGCTAAAAAACGAACAAAACAAACTCCAAACAATGTAGAAATTAACCTACTCTCCCACAGACACCAGCATCTATTGCAAACACACCCCCAAGGCCTCCAAATGTCATGATCTCCAGGGTGGTCATTATGGCAGCAAGGCTAAAGACACACACCTCGTGTGTTTTAAGTGCAAGTTGTTCATTTGGAGGGAAATGGGACTTCACAAGCGATTATAAGTAACTTGCAAAAATTTAAGAAACAAATAATTATCTGCAGAAACTTAAAGAACAGCTGGGCAACAGAGCATAGAACCCCAATGTGTACAGGTCCAACACATATCTCCATGCAGGCATTCAATTAACACCAGGTTTCGGTTTTCAACGGGGGTCCCCCTCCCCTTCATAAACAGCTAAAACAAGTCTAGAAACCATCACATGAATATGAAGGCACCAAGGCAACTTGATATTTGGAGACCTTTTGGTTTTGTCAAGAACCATGGGAGAAATCAGCAGTCCCCAGGCTGATCCCCTCACCCATGTCTCATGAATCAAAGTCTCCAAAGTAGGAAGTGGGCAGGGCCACCCTTGCGAATGACTCTGGCTTCCCTCTCCAGGTATCTACCCAGGACCCATGCAAGCAAGTCTTCTCCACATCTTTCCCACGTTCACCCCTAAAGACTGAGGGACACAACTGAAACTTTCAAGCACATCTTCAAACGAGTACGTTTTGGGATTTCCATTACACAATCCTCTTGAATAAAGCCCAAGCTGCTTCAGAGAGGACCGGTCAATAGCAAGATGCCCATTCTACCGTATTTACCACTCTATTTCCTACACATATATTACTACCATATTTACTTACTAATATGATGTTCACACAATATATATCAATTAGAATTGGAATGGTGAGCGCTTACTATGTTTAGAAGCATATAATATACCAAAATTTTAAACTTCGGGTCTTCTTTAAAAAATTCTAGACTTTAAGTTCATCATTTCAACAGAAAGAAACAGGAAATCATACTCCCAGAAGAGTTCATAATTAGTTACACTCTCAAGTATCAATCACAAACTCCCCCATGGAATGACTTTGAGATATATTAAAAATATTAGCCCATGTGTGTATTCTCCTTAGAAGCAGAGGAGGCTAAAGGTATCTTATGCTCTTTAAGGAAGACAGGTACTTTTCTAAAATCTTGTGTTGTTTAAGAACAATAAATGTTGAAAGGAATACAGTACGTGGAGGCAGCTCTGTGCCCTCTGTATTTGGAATGGTGAGATGGGAAGGAGTGAGCAGGTGACATTATGGGTTGCAGTGAGCAGTTACACATAAGACCATGACTTATGTAAGCAAAAAGCACTGTTACTTACATATTAAATTAACTTTTTCATAATTCAGCACTTTCAGCTAAGGGTCAAATTTTGGATATAACATGCTGGGCTGGGTTTCCATTTTTTACATACAATAAAGTCTCTTGCATAACAAGTGAAATAGTATATATATATAAAAGTTAAAGGATGTGGCGTTTAATATCACTGTTTTAGAGAAGTTGTGTTAGATTACTGCCATAAAATGCACTGCCATTATGTAAAATGCATAAAATACGTTGTTTGGTCCTAGCAGATTTACTTGGGGTAAAGCCTTTGGTAGCCCCCAATTATAATGTTGTTCTAATAGAAAAATATAATGTTACCTTTATAATGAATATTTGTATAACTAACCCTGAATTGTACCCCACATCTTTAAAGAGAGCAAAACAAAAAGTGCCTTTTGCTCTTTCATATAAATTTTATGATTAGTTTGTTAAGTTCCATTTTGTTCAATAAAATTTCACAACTTTTAAAATAGAAAAAAAAAAGAAAAATATAATCTACTTAGCCACAATCCATTTTTAAATATCACAAATCAAGAAATTAGACTCCAAATCAAGAACTGTTTTTTAAAAAAGTATTTAACATTAAATATTCTTTTTTTCAGACATTTACAAAACTGAATGACTGGCTAAAGTTTTAGAAAACATCCCTTTAAACAGATATCATTTTTCTTCCAGGTAGATATTCAAATATGATACATTTTAATTAAAAATAGTATTATAGTGCTCTTAAGTATATTAAAATAGGCTTCACTTAAAGTTAGAGCAAGAGTAATGATGTATATATTATGAACCATAGTAAATGTCACCATTTTTATTTTTAAATCTACTTTAAATTGTTTCTTTCCTCTTCAACTATAAGCTCTCTATAGCACATGAGGGATAAAATTTAAGGCAAGAAATAGAACGGAAGGTGCTGACTGGAAACACTCAAAGTGTTTTAAAAAACACTTTAGAAAACAAATCCTGTAATCATGAAATAAACTTATGAGGCTGTACTGACTGCTGTCCAAGTGGTAGATTGTTTTATTTGAAACTATCATTGCTCCTAGCCCAGCACATCCTTACTACACATGGGTCCATCTGAATAAGGCTCAGAAGGGCAAGCTATGTTTGAAGTCCATGATTAAATATAACCAGCACTTTGTGTGAAACTGGTTCAATTGTAAGAAACTTGAAATAATCAGTCCTGCACTTGCTTTGGTCTACAGAACACTAATGATTAACTTGACTTTCCTGGTAAGCCAGCTGCCAACTGTAATACCTATCAGTTTAGTGCTTAGAGAAAGAGCTGGATGTATGCAGCTTGCTCAACTTATTTTTGAATTTAATGTCATTTTTTAAAGAATAGTATTTGTTCTTCTATGAAGATGCCATAAATACTTCTCAAAAACCAAAGCCCATGTCTTTAGTTATAAGAATGTCCAAACTTAATTGTGCGGATTGGAGTATCTGGGTTATAATTTTCTTCATTTGAAAGTTGGACTTACATTCCACCAGGATTTATAGCTAGAGTATTTTTTTCTCCTCTATGAATTTCAATTCATGTCACCTCACTTTTGGTAGTAAGGTTCCATTAGTCTGTTCACCAGGTCACACGCGGCCAGCAAGGCAGTTTGCCTGGCTGGCACTGGAACGCTTTGCAGTCAAACCCACATGTCAGCATCTCGTGGTTTCATGATCAGTTTCCCTCTTCCATGGAGAAACAGACCACAGGGAATGAAAGGTTTCCGCCAGCTCAGCTCAAAAGCGTTTTCATGGGAACTGCCAGTGGGGCCGTGAGGCTAAGGTAGACACATTAAAAAAAAAAAAGTTCTGGCCCTTGACTACCTTGTTTTTAAAGTGATGCCCAGGGTATTCTAAAAGGCAGAACTCCGAATTCAAACAGTCAATTTTCACTGAAGAACAAAGAATAAAGGAAAAAAAGAGTTCCATTTATAGCATATCAGTTTATTTCGCTTGGGTGGAAAATATCGTAGAAATGTTCATCTCTACACTGATGTGGATCTAAATAGTTCTCCCATGCTCTGACCCCTCGCATTTCAGTTTGTGGTACTTGAAAGTGCTAAATTATCTTGGTTTCCTAGTGTTCAATGCTATGTGCTTCCTGGTGTTTCCATGTGTTCTAAGAATTCAGGAAAAGCCAGGCTGGTATCTGGGGTGTGTATGTGAATAACTTACTAAAATAAGAAAAAACTTGATCAAAAAGCAAGTAAAGGTGTCTAAAAGCACTCAACCAAATCTCTCTTCTGACTCCTCCCAAAATACATCTATTTATAAAATAAATAATAAACAGGCATTAAAAATCAAAATTTTTGAAGGTTAATAAGAGAAGACACAGAAGGGAAAATGGAGAGAGCTCATTATAATAAAAAAATAAATCTTAGTTCTCTCAAAGAACTGGGGAAAATAGTAAAGCATTTACTGCATAGAAAAAGGAAATTAACTTTTGATGATTTTATGACTATTGTAAGGTTTGCTATAGACATACATGTAACTGCCTGCATTTTGCCTGGCTGAGAGTTCTATTTAAAAAGAGCAAAACTGTCATCTATCTGATTTTAGGGATATTAAATATGCACAGATTAGATTTCCACAAAGAAGAACAGGAGGTGAGAACCAGTGTTCACAGGGTATTTCATACAGAGCAGACAGCATGAGCATCGAATGTTTGCAATTCATAGTTACTCTGGAGATTACTGTATGCAGGACCACTTGGTCTCAACCTTGACTGTACAACGGAATCAGCTTGGAGCTTTAAAAATACGGTGTCATACTAAGTGAACTGACTCAGAAACAGAAAACCAAACACTGCATGTCCTCAGTCATATGTGGGAGCTAAATGGCCACAAGGATGGAAATAATAGACACTGGGGACACCTATAAGGGTACAGGTGGAAGCAGGGGGTAGTTAGGATTCAGAAATCACCTACTGGGTACGATGTTCACTATCTGGGGAAGGTACATATATCCCCTGAATCTACAATAAAAATGGAAAAAAATATATACTGCTGCCAGGGCTGCATGCCTCAAGTGTCTGATATAATTGGTCTGGGTGCAGCCTAGATATCTGGTGTCTTAAAAGCTCCCCAGGTGATGCCAATGTGCAGCTAAGTTTGAGAACAACTGAAGTAAAGCACTCCTCTAAGAAAAGAAAGAAGAGCCGTTTCGGAACTATAACACAGGCATTTCCATAAACTGAAGTCCCTAGCTGCAGTGTTGAGAAAAATGATGGTAAAACTTGCAAAAGGAAGGCACGTCCAGCAAGACAGGCTTAGAGAGGAAACTGAATTAATCATCAGCAAAAAACATTCCTGGATGGCAGAAGGGTACAGGGTATTTCACCCAGTGCCGGAATAAAGGATGTTTTACCCTGGAACATCCAACTTCTGTTCTAATGAGGTCTGTACCAAACACACTTTTAAAAAGCAATCTTATTTCCTGATTAAACTTTCCTGCCTGATAGGGCCAAGACTGCAAGCTTCATGCAGACAAAGAATATCTCTGTTTTGTTAACTCCTATTGTCTAGTAAACACTCAACATAGTTGAAACATGCAAGTATTCATGAGTTATAACTCAGTTTCCTTTGAGTGCTATAAGGGTTTCTCTTCCCCTGGCTAATTAGATCTTAGGACATACTGGAAAACAAATCCTGTTTTTAAAAGTTTGCACGTATTGTGATGTGACATTAAGCACCCTGGCTTAAGATCAATATATATTTTTCTGGTAAAATTAAACCTGTTTCTTTGATTTTAGAAATATCACTGAATGTATCTTTTGAATCTAGCTTTCGAGTGAAACCATCTGCCCTGATCATGAAACCATTTACATCTAGATTAGCAATCTGCCAGGGAAGAAATCTTTCTTGCTGCCAACTGCCAAGAATGACTTTGACACTCTGCCCATTTAGTGACCATAACCGGAGGTCCTGCTAGAAAGAAATTAATTTGGGCATAGTGATTTCTGAGCGTACACACAAGCAATTCTCCTAACTCCCAAACCTTGACTTTTTCCCTTCTAGAGGGGTTGGAGTTTTCCTCTAGATTCTGCTAAGGGACAGCAAAATGAGCAGATGCTGGGCTGAAGAGCTGTGCCCTGGGGCCTGCAGGCGGGCTGCCAGTGCTGGCCAGGGGCTTGGAGGGAATTACATGGAGAAACAGGAACTTATCAAACATTTGGCTTTTGCCTTATATCTAGATATTGGGGAACCCGTTAGTTTGGGGAGAAAAATGAAGAAATGGCCGTGGTCTCAACTTCACAGGAAAGAAAAGCTCTAAGTGAAAATATCAGAAGGCCTGGAGTTTAGGTCCCTCAGTCTGCCGCTAAGTAGTCGTGCAATTCTGGGGCAGTTATTTGGCCTTCAGGGCCTCATTTTCTCATCCGTAAAGTGGGGATAATAAGAACAATTAATTTTTGAAGATTAAGTAAGGCTATGTACCTGCCATGGTCACTTACCACAATGCCTGCATACAGTCTTGACAGGCTTATTTACCACTAGCTATTAAATATTAAATATGGAGCATGATTGAGGGAGAACCTAATACCATAAAAATGAATAGGATAAGAAAAAGGCATTTGCTAGAAAAATCTGGTTCAGCTGAAGGGAATGCTCTGATATTTTTCTGTGATTCTGTGACCCTAATTTTTTAGAACATGTAAATTCTTTGAGTGGTCATTCTGGGCAGGGCCTGGTGACTTAAAGAAATTCATAAATCATTACTTGTGGAAGTGAATGAATGAAAAACGGAGGGGCTTGATCTACATGCTATTTCCCTGAACCAAATGAAAAGAACACTCCTCAAAGTGAAAAGAGTATGTTAATAGGTCCATAAAACTGTTTCTAAATGCCCAGTCAGCAAGGGTGTGAGAAGGAAATTCTAACGTAAGTATATAATGTTTATCTGTTGTTTCTAAAATTGCTTTTTCCAGGAACCCTGCTCATCTTTCCTGTATGAGTCCAGTTTTAGTGTCTGTGATGCCAAAGCAAGCATACATGTTTAAATATTTAATTTGCAGCAAGCCTGGAATCATTTTCAAAAATTCACTATGAACTTCAGCAGAAATTATTTATTATTATTATTTATTATTCTACAGCAGAATTCATGCTCACAGGATCACACTGGGTGGGGCTCAACGGGTCACCTAAGTTGGACACTCTCTCCCTGAGTCCCGGATGAAATGCCCATTGGGTCCACATCTGGTCCTCCCATCCTACTCCCTCCATGGCTCCAACCCGCCTCATTTTCCAAACAACCTATACACGAGCTACTGGTCACAGGCACAACCATGGAGTTTGTCAGAAGCTTCACAGTAAGAATTTCAAATCTGTAATTTCAAAATCAGGAACTAATACAATAGTTCTTTTTAAACAGCAGTGTCTCCAAAATGCTGGCTCTTAGCACTTTCTCTCTCTCTCTCTCTCTCTCTCTCTCTCTCTCTCTCACACACACACACACACACACACACACACACACACACACTCATATACAACCAATTTACAAAGGTTATTTGTAGATTCTAAGTTATAGTTACTTACACTAAATGTCTATGAAACAATTTAATTTCCAACTGTTTTGCTTTAATAAGGTATTAGAAGTTTTTAAAAATCTTACCTCAAAAATTTCAAAGCCATAAATGTCCAAAACACCCATGACCTTCTTTCTCACTTTTGTTTGTGCCTTTAAAAAAAGTTTCAAATGAAAGGATTAATGAAGGTATGAAATATGACACTACAATCATCCCAGAAGCATAGACATGCTACAAGTTTATTGAGGAGAATAATCGTTAACTTACCTGGTTTTATTTAAGTTTGAGATGGAACATTGGTATAGAAACTTTCAGAAATTTTAATAACAGGTGCTTAATGGTACTTAATTATAAAAAAAAAAAAAGGAATCACTGAGTCTCACAAGAGATAGGGCCTTTCAAAATCACCTAGTCCAACACCTTCATTTTAAAGAAGAATATAGAACATATTAGTACCCAAAAAGGTAACGAGACATTTTCAGTCAAGTGTGTACAACTAGTTAGCAGATGAACCAAATCAGGACCTACAAAGCTGCTTCTCAGAGTAATTCCACAAAGACCATCAGACCATTCAAAATGAAATAAATGAAATCCCTAGATAATTTCAATCACACACAATGTAAATTCTTTTTAAGGAATTTATAAACAGTAATCAATTTATTTGATTACAGAATTAAAGACCAAGTACAGCAGTTCACACCTATAATTCCAGCACTCTGGGACCCTCAGGCAGGAGGATTGCTTGACCCAGGAGTTTGGGTTCAAACTAGACAAAATAGCAAGACATTGTCTCTACAAAAAAATTCTTTTTAATTATCAGAGCATGATGGCATGAGCATGTTGTCCCAGTTACTCAGTAGAAGGATCTCCTGAGCCCAGGAGACTAAAGCTGCAGTGAGCCATGTTCATGCTACTGCACTCCAGCCTGGGAAATAGAATAAGACCCCAACTCAAAAATAAAAAGATAGATAATATGATATGATGTGACATAACATAACACAACATAACATAACATAACATTAACATAACATAACATAACACAACACAACATAACATAATATAAACATTTGGCTGGGCTTGGTAGCTCAGCCTGTAATCCCAGCACTTTGGGAAGCGGAGGCAAGTGGATTGCCTGAGCCTGTGGATTTGAGATCAGCCCAGGCAACTTGGCGAGACCTCATCTCTACAAAAAATAAAAAAAATTAGCCAGGTGTGGTAGCGGGTGCCTATAGTTCCAGCTACTTGGAAGGCTGAGGTGGAAGGATCGCCACAGCCCAGCAGGTAGACACTGGGGTGGCTGTGAGTGTGCCACTGCACTCTAGCCTGGGAGACGGAGTGAGACTCCAACTCAAAAATAAATATATAAACAAACAATTCTTCATCTTAATGTTTACATTGTTAGTACTGTTCATTACAACTAGTTTTGTTAATGAAGAGTCAGTACCTTAATGCTTTCATTGATTCGATTCACCAGCCACGAAAACAACCTGCTATAGAGGTTTTTAGCCAGAGCATCACGGGCATAATAAGCCTATTAAAAAGAAAAAGAAAAAAAAAAACTTAACATCGACAATTGCCACAATGCCTAATTTCAACAAAACAATATTTTTTTAAAATGTAAAGCTCTTTTATTTCAAATTTCTTTTCACAACCAGTTTTATTATGCCCTGGATGAACAATCAAGCCCTTCATGAGAATTAGGCAAATTGTTTATACACACTTATATTTTTCACATACCAGGAAACTAATTCTAAATATCGCAAAAGCTTTGACCAGAGACTGTTATGAAAATTAGGTAATTAAATGGAAATGCTTATGCTATGTTCCATGAAAATCAAACAACTGTATACTTAATACAGTAACGCTATTTTTAAAACCCTATACATAGGAAAGGAAACTCAATGGAAAAACAATCAAATTGCTCTGACTGATGGAATCTGTATTTCTTTTCTTCATTCAACCTTTAGAATATTTTTTAACAGTCTTCTACAATGAACTCTTTTAAATTAAAGAATGAGAATAAACTCCTTTTATGTGTTTATTTATCTATCTTTAAAACTATTCAGAGCTACTTGACAAAGAGGAGCAGAAAACATATATATCTCTGTGTCTCTTGGCTTAGAATCCAAAGGCTGGAGGGAGACAGATTTGGGTGAGAGAACATAACCATACTGGGCGCCCAGTGCATACAGGCAGTACTCATGAGATGTCTAACACCAGCCCCCCTCGGGAGCCTCGCCAGAGGAAAGCTCCTAGTTTTGTTGCTGTTTTTAACACCTGGTCATACATGTCTATTTTGCTGCTTATAAGTAGAAAGTAGGGTATTACTATGAAAAATAAAACAGCACTTTTTTATTTTAAAAAGAGCAACCTGTTAGATTATGTGGGAATACTTTTCCCACATTTCGTCCAAAATGAAGAGTAACAACTTTAATAACGCATTCATTTCCCTGGTGACACATCACAGCTGAAAAGAACACCTTTTCCCTTGGTCTGACACTGCCGTGCTAATCTTACTTCCTACCCTAAATCTTAGATGGCTACTCCAATCTGGGTTAGAAACCACACCTAGAGTTAACAAAACGGGAGGGAATGCCTCCATAGAAGTAAATACAGGTAAGAAGCCAAGATACAACTTAAATGCACACCCTTTTCCCATTACACTTTCTTCCAGCTTTTACTTTCTTGAAATAGGTAATTCAAGTGCCCAGAACAAGTACCTGGCACAGAGTTGGTCTACAGATGTATTTCTATTATGATTTTTGAAGTTTCCTTTTCCTCTTGCTGTTATTGCATGAGCCTATATCATTTCATAATCCTTTTCTTTTTCTTTGTGCAAATTCAAGTTATCTCAACACACCACATATTTGTAAAATAACCCTCTTTTGTCTTAATGTCACCCAGCTTGTTTAGTTGTACACTATCTGCTTCCAGCAAACGACCATCTCAACAGCCACTGAATTTGTAATGACAACTTATTCTGGTAAACTGCTTTATAATTCTTTAAGTGCATTCGCAGCCAATATTAATCTTCTTTGCTTTCTTCAAACAAATATTTATTTTAGGAGTCTCAAATGCAAATACTTCCAGGGACTGTGTGACAGAAGTAAACAGGAAGACACGGCTCTGAAGAGGTTGAAGGATGTATGCCAGTTAAGACATTCAAACTCAAAATTTAAAAAGCAAGCAAACAAAACCAAAGAAAAAACCGTGCTTTGGTCAAATAAAATATGCTTATCGAACTGCACCTGTCTCCAATGGCTGCCTATTTGCCACCCCAGACTTCTAGAGCTTGATTCATGCCACCGAATCTCCACAGTACTGGGGAATGGGGGCAGAACTGTTTATTCCCATGGAAGAACACTGCTAAGGTGTACACAAATGAGGGAAGACACCAAGTGCACTGACTCATCACGCCAGTGCCACAAAACACCACGAAAAGATGGTGCATTTCTGCAGCGGCCTGAAACTCCCACAGGAAAAGCCCAGGTGGACTTGGCTGAAGAGACGGCCAGTGCCAGGCACAGCCCAGGACGGCATGCGACAAGCTGGGGGGAGATGCAGAGATGCACAGACAGTGTGCCCTCACTCCAGGAGCTGGAGGGGAGCGATAGAGGTCCAACTAACACAAGCAAAACAACAGAAGGCAGGTGCCACACTGCGAAGACAGGGGAGTTCAGAGCAGGGAGCCTGGGGGCCCAGCTGACCCAGGAATGTTCCCTGGATGGGGTGCAGTCATGCAGGCCATGCAGACAGGCAGACGGAACGAGCATCAGCATGGGGGTGATAGGCACGCAGGGGCAAAGGCACCAGGTGAATGGGAGCATTGTCTGAGCCCAGTGGTTCATGCCTGTAATCCCAGCACTTTGGGAGGCTGAAGTGGGAGGACCACTTGAGCTCAGGGGTTCAAGAACAGCCTGGGCAACATAGTGAGACCTTGTCTCTAAAAATTTACACAAGAAAAGAAAAAGAAAGGAAGCATGACATTTAGAGAACAAGCAAGGAAGAAACTGAGATAAGCCGTTAGGGTCAGATTTCAGAGGGTCTCGAAGCCCTGGAGAGAGGGTATGTAGAAGAGGCTGAATGGCAGACTCTGTCCACAGTTTCCATTATTTCAGTATTGGTTATCCTATCTGGGATGAAGGATCTAAGTCCTTGGGAAAATGAGGCAGGGGGTGACATGGATGACACTGGGGCCCAAGAACGGAAGCTATGAGGAAAAGCTAATCAAACAAATCACTTCTCATGGGAATCAAAACCTACAGGCAGTCGGAGCGGCAGAACCAGATACTCAGAACATTAAAAAAACCCTCAACTAAGGAGCTGAATAATGGAGAATCTCAGGACAAATGCTTTTATGCCAAAGGTTAAAAAAATATGGAAACTTTTACCCGGTGATGTAAGATGACTAAAATTAGCTCATAAAGTGAGAGGCACCTGGGCCTGGTATCCATGGAGGATTCATTAAAAAACCAAGAGTAAGCCCAATTTAAAAAGACCATACATATGTATATATATGTACACACACACACACACACACACACACACACACACACACACATTCCTGAAGAGCCTTCCGAAACAACACAGACTTTTTCCCAGCATCCCTGTACACTTAACAACCCCCACTCCAGTCACTGAAAAATGTCCCCACTCAATGGTCCTCAAAACGTGATGCTGGGCCAGCAACAACAGCAGCAACAGAGTCACCCTGGAACTTGCTGGAAAAGCAGATTCTTCACGTCTACCCCAGGCCTACTGAGTCCAACACTTGGTATATGGGCCACAGCCAGTGTTGAAAGTCAGTCTTGCAGATGATTGTGATGCTCAAGTTTGAAAGCTACAGCCTTAGATGCTCCACTCTCGACCCTGGACGTGACCTTCACAGCCACACTGTTGAGTCCTCTCCACTGTAGCCAAGCTTGGTCAACCTTTTTCTGATATGTACTCCAAACCTGACATTTTTCACTGGTTTTTTCTTGTTTCTTTCTTTTTCTTTTTTAAGAGAGAAACCGGGTCTTGCTTTGTTGTCTGGGCTATGCAGTACAGTGGTATGATCATAGCTCACTGCAACTTCGAAATCCTGGGTTCAAATGATTCTCCTACCTAGGCCTCTCGAGTAGTTGGGACAACAAGCATGCACCACCATGTCTGGCTAATTTATTTTTATTGTTTTGTAGGGACGGGGAGCTTGCTATGGTGCTCAGGCTGGTCTCAAGCTCCTAGCCTCAAGCAATTCCCCATCCTCAGCCTCCCAAAGTGCTGGGATTACAGGCATGAGCCACAGCGCCTGGCCCATCATTTTGTTTTGGAAAGGCCTCTTTGCCCATTCTTTAAACAAGTAAATCCTTCCTTTGTCTGTGTCCATGAAGTCTTCCTTGATCCCTAATTTCCCTACTAATGGCCTCATGGGTGCCTGTACTGTCAAGGCTCTCAGCAGCATTTTCTTGGTTAAGAAAGTTCCTCTCATCTGACTGTGAATTGGTAAAGCTGACCTGGACAGCATGACAGCAGAAACGGTCATTTAGGAGGAAGGACAATGGCTGCATCTAAGAAAGGACTACTACAAACCAAATTTCCATATACACAAAATTATGGTATTTGCCATAGCCAACATAATTCGCCTAAAATACGGTATCAACGTTGAAAGCAATGCAGGTCTTCTTGGGTTAGCAGGAAAGAGTAGCACAGAGAAACAGACAGTGGGCCTAGCTCTGACTTACTGAGGCCTTAGGCTCTGCACAAGGAGGAAGAAACAAGGATACAGTTGAACAAACAAAGAAGGCCTGAGTGGGAAGAGTCCTGCATTAGTCATTTAACTTAAGCCCAAATCAGCACTGACTGGTGGGAAAATGTCTAAACCACAGAGCAATTTCATTGCAAGTGCTCCAGGAGCTGCTTGTGTGGTATGAGAATAGAGATACTGGTCTTCATCCGTGGTTCCTGACTCGTATCACCCATGGCCCTTGGTAGTCTTTTGCTATAATGTTGGGCACTTTGGGCCTCAGGAAACAGGATCTCTCCCTGACCTTCTCCTGCCCTCTCTTCTCCCATCTCTAATTTTCCTCTGCCTTTCTGATTGTGGGTCTTCAGACGCTCCCCAGAGAGTCTTCCAGCCAGTCCCCTGGGGGAAGTCTCAGAGCTTCCATAAAAACCCAGGGACTGGGTTCCGGGAGCTTCCGGAGAGCTGAACACATGGAGACTTCTCGGGGGAGGGGACCCCAGGAGGGCATGGGAGCCTGGTACCCCCTCCCCATGCCTCGTTCTATGCACCTCTTCATCTGTGTCCTTCATAATAAACCAGGAAACGTTCGCTTATGACTGAGTTGTGAGCCACACCAGCAAATACATGAGTCAAACCCAAAGAGGGCGTTGTGGGAACCCCAACTTGAAGCTAGTGGGTCAGATGTTCCAGAGGCCCTGACTTGTGACTGAATTGGGGGTGGAAGGTAGGGTAGTCTTGGGGACTTGCCTTCTGGGATCTGACACTAGCTGCAGGTGGATAGTGTGGGAACTTAACCGAAGGATGCCCAGCTGATGTTTGCTGCTTGGTATGTGGGGAAAACCTCACATCTGGTCCCAGAAGTCTCCTGTGTTGATGAGTGTTGCAGTAGAATGAGACCAGAGGAAACACGGCTTGAGAGAGAATTTTCCTAAAGCAACATATATCCAAAGTCCATCCACTGAACTTGAAGCAAAAGAAGAGAAAGCCAAATGCAGTGGCTTATACCTACAATCCCAGTACTCTGAAAGGCTAAGGTGGGAGGATTGCTTGAGCCCAGGAGTTTAAGGCTGTGGTGAGCTGTGATTGTGCCACTGCATTCCACCCTGAGCGACAAAGTGAGATCCTAACTCAAATAAATAAACAAACAAATAAATAAAAGAGACAAGTAGGCAGCACAGCTCTTCTGTGTCTTAAAAAAGAACTTACTGAGCTCAGCATGTAAGACAGAAGGTCCAACGAGAAAGACAAAGAGGCCAATTTGGCCATTTGACCACAAAGCTGGTTTCTCCTAATGGGTAAGTGACAGCTCCATTTTTCCAGTTGCTCAGGCCAAAAATGTTGAATGCTCCTTAACTCTTTCTCTTACACCATGTATCAAGCTGTCGGCAAATCCTGACTCCTCAACAGTCAAACAATACCTAGAAAGTGATCAGTTCTGGTTGAAAGCAGTGGCTCAGCCTGTAATCACAGCACTATGGGAGGCTGAAGCGAGAGGACTGCCTGAGCCCAAGGGTTCGAGACCAGCCTGGGCAACTTGATGAGACCTTGTCTCTAAAGTAAATCACAAAAATACTAGCCAGGCATCGTGGCGTGCATCTGTAGTTCCAGCTACTTGGAAGGCTGAGGTGGAAGGATCGCCTAAGCCCAGCAGGTCAAGGCTGTGGTAGCTGTAAGCGTGCCACTGCACTCCAGCCTGGGTGACAGAGTGAGACTCCAACTCAAAAAAAAAACAAAAAACACACAAAACAAGTGAAGTGACCAGTTCTCACTGACTCCACTGCACCCCACCTGGGTCAAGCTGCCATCAAGTCTGGGCTAGTCACATCTCCTGGGAAGTTCTCTGCTTTCACTCTTCTGTTTCCTAACCTTCCACTCTCCATGTTGCAGCCAGAGGGATCCTTGAAATATAAGACAGTCACACCACTCTTCCGCTCCAACCCCCAGTGTTCCCACCTCTCTCAGCACCCCCCGTTACGCTGCCTTACTTTCTCTTTGTCTACTGCACTTGAGACAGGAATTAAGCAGGACTAGTGTCCTAAGATAAACAACAAAGCTAATTTCTCAGGACAGGTGGCTGAGATGGTTTCTCTAGACAGGTGAATAGCCTGGTTTTCTGAGTCCCCACAGAGAACAACAAGATGCAGCTGAGAACTGGTTGGAGCCAGCTAGAACCAAGACAGCAATTCATCTGTCTAATACCAGACCTTGGCATTCATTATATGGTCATTATACTACATTAGCATGCCAGATGACATGCTCTCCAGTCCTCGACTGCTCATTAATAGTAACAAAACTGGATGGGCCCCGATTCTTAAAAATCTCTACCTCTTTCTCAAGAAACCCACGAGTATTCCAACCCTTGCTTAACATATAATCAAGAAAGAATCATAAAAATAAAACCCCAGCAACGTATACACGGCTGCTGTTCTTCCTATAGACCAGCCCAGGCTGCTCTGTCTGTGAAGCAACCTGCTCTATCACGTCAACAAACTTCCTTTCATTTTCCAACTGAGACCCCAGTGATGTACAAGGGCTGCTCGGCCTTCTTTCGGTTCTTCTTGTCTTTTAATAAACTGTCTTTGGCTTTATTTCGGTGCTTGGTCTTGAATTCTTTCCTGCGCGAAGCCAAGAACCCTGGCCTCTCAGGCAGGACCCCAACCTTGGAGTTGGTCTCCTGTCCCATGTCACACTTGCAATATCCTTTCCATATTATACCTATGGATTCTTATCTAACTCCTGAATTTTAAGCTCCATGAGGACAGGGATCCTGATCTATTTAGTTGAAGCTGTATCCCCAAGGCCGGGAACAGTACCTGGAATAACAGAATGACAATGGAGAAAACAGCCTGCAAAATAAAATTTTTGCTTAAACATATAAAAATGTCACAGACTTTCACAGAACTCTCTTTGATACATTACGTCTCACCCACCTGAGCCACATTAAGTGTAGTTGAAACTTTCTCCTGCTTGGCCTCAACCGTTCGGAAACTGAATGCCCGTTCCAGAACCGACTGATCAATGCCGGTCAACTCACAAATTTCTTTTAACTCTGTAGGGGTTAGGGGAAGGGACACAAATAGTGACTAGTCTATATGCTACTAATCATCATTTTCAAGGCTTAGGCTGTTCTTTCTAAACCACAATCAGCCTGAACAGTAGAAAATGTATACTTCAAACACTGAAAACTGAGTTGACATTCTACTTCTGCTCAGTTTCACAAGAAAGTTTTTTTACACCAAGGCAAAGCCAAAGTTTTACTTTCTAGATTAAAAACTGGGCAGAAGTTCACAGCACGTTTCCTACACAGAGTTGACTCTCCATGGACGTACCATTTTTATCTTTGATTTTGCTTTCATCTAAGCCGTTCACGCGCGATTCAGGCTTGAACTCAATGTTGCCCAGTTTCAACACGGCAGCCACCACTGCCAGGACAGATTCCGCCTCATGGTCCGTGAAGCCCACGATCTGCATGGCGTTCTGGGAGAGAAGAAAAGCACCTGCTTCATCCGGCAGTTTTTTATTTTTAATTTTATTTTTAAATGAATCCTATTACAGATTTATTTCTAGGGGGAAAAAAACCTTAAAAGACAAAGCTAGATCTAGTCTGGTGGTTTCAAACTGGAATTGAAGGAGTCCTGGGGTGCCTCAGCTATGGCAGGAAGAAGGCAGAGGAAGAGGAGCCTGGGAGTGGGGCCTTGAGTCCCTGCGCCCACCTCAATCACGGCAGCTCAGCATCTGTGTCTGTTTTATTACACTAGGGTTCTGTTACTAGAAACAAAACTAAACAAAAAGCTCTCACAACCCCTTACAATCAAAACCTCCTCACTCATTTTACATATTAGAAAAACTGTGATCTGCAGGGGTGACATGTCCAGTCCACGACACCGTGGGTGGTAACAGGAGACACCCATTCATTCATACATCTTTGCAGAGTGCCAACTCTGTGTCAGGCAAAGTGGTGATAAGGCAGGACTTGGACCCAAGTCTTAAACAAGATCATGTCCAGGAATCAACAGACTATTGCTTCCATAGGAGGATATTTACACAGTTTTTTAAAGTGACATACTCTAACAGATACTTTCATTTTGAGAACAGCTGGCTGTTTTTTAATGGCTTGGCTACACAGCACTGGGAGTAAGATGAGGTTTTTGCTGTTGTTGTTATGAAAAATTTCAAACATATACAAAAGTAGAGAGTGGGGAAAGGACACACATGTTCTGCCCGCTGATCCCTCAATGATGAACTAGTGCCAGGCTTATTCAATCTATAATCTAACATGCTGTCTTCTCCCCCACCCCCAACAGCTGTCCCACTTGGAAGGAAACCCCAGCTACCACATCATAGCATAACAGAAGTAATTTTGAACGTGCATGCCACAATAGGACAGAAAACAGAGTACAATGTTACTTAAAAACATTTCTAATGAATGTGGAATGCAAATCACTTTATACATGAGTTTGCTAAAACTGTATAAAAACAAGATTTTGTCTCAAAAATAATTTTTACTAAACATGATCCAAGGACAATTTTGACACTTGGAAATTAATTTCGGCTGCAAAAACATTTGGAATTTAAATATAACATTAGCACATTCAAACTCCAGGATCATACAATAAGAAAGCCCCTTTTTAATAAATGGCAAAATCACATGCTGTAGTAAAAGTAGGGCCTTAATAATCTTGTGTGATTTTTGAGCCAATAAAAAACCCTAATAAAAATATAATTCTTGGCTCACGCCTGTAATCCCAATATATTGGGAGGCCAAGGTGGGAGAATTGCTTGAGCCCAGGAGTTCGAGACCAGCCTGAGTAACATAATGAAACCTTGTCTCTACAAAAAAATTAGCCAAGTGTCATGGCATGTACCTGTAGTCCCCGTCAGGAGGCTGAGGTAAAAGGATCACTTGAACCCAGGAGGTCAGGGCCTGTGGTGACCTGGGACCACGCCATTGCACTCCAGCCTGGTGACAGAATGAGACCCTGTCTCCTTAAGAAAAAAATTTTATATATATACAAAAATTTAATACATATAGGCAATATTTATAAACTCCTTACATAATTCTAAAACTTTGAGGAAAATGAGTTACACTTTAGAGAAAACCCAGAACTATTTCCAGTTCTCTCCCTAGCACAATGGCGCCCAATCTCAGGCTTATAGAAAGCACCACATCTTACCCGAACGGTTCTGAAACTGGCAGCATCATCCACACCATTCACTTTAGCCGAGTCCAGACTCAGATAGTTGTATCTACTGAAATCCCGCTCGAGCTTCAGTTTATCTATTGAATCAGACACACACATTGATAAGTTGCTTCTAGAAATCTCATATTTAACAGCTCCTTCCTTTAGACATATATTTGTTCAGATCAAATGACTTTCACATTAAGTACTGAATTAAAAGAACAAAAATAGATACTTAAAACTGCTTTTATCACTGTTGTGCATTATTTCAAATTCCGCTTTTTTTTTTACACTTATTTGTATCGGGCAAGTCCCTTTCCATACTTTGATATTATAAAATATCTTCAGTGTACTATTTCTTTACAACGTAATGTCTGCCTAGTGATATACTCACCACAGGGTGTTTGGGTTCTAATTTGCAATAAGTATAGGGCAGTGATAAATGTTTTCATACAAATAGTTTTTGTATGCATTTGAGTGATTTCGTTGAGACCAATTCCAAAAAGTGATATGACAGTGTGGTAGGCTCCAATAACTGTGACTCTTGTTTTGAGTTAGATGGAATTATTTTTTGGAGGGAAGGCCTCTTGTAGTATAGGCTTCCCCCGCTAGGTAAGTGTTCTAGGAGCCAGTCGGCATCCATGTACCAGCTAGCATTTTTGTGAGAGGCTGTATTTTTTTTTGAGATCTTTTTCAACATGTTTGCCCATTTCATGATGGGTGATTTACAAGCATACCTGCCTGCACCACGCTGAGTGCCTCACCCTCCCTATTCAACTGATCTCACCCCCAGCGACTTTTTTTTGTTTGTTTCCCCATGAAAAAAGGCATCCAAGGAAAACATTTTGCTGATGTGGAAGGGTTGAAACCAAAAATGGCAGAAGCACTCAAAGACATCAAAATGGACAAGCTCAAAAACTATTTTGAGCAGTGGAAAAAGTCTCGATAGGTATATTGCATCAAATGGAGAGTACTTGGAAGGTGACTGAAGTTTAAACACGTAAGAATACACAGTTTTTAATAAATAAATTCCGGGTATTTTGGGGTCCCCGCTCAGTCCCCAGGAAGTGGTCCTTGCTTTGAAGTGACACCCACAGCTCTAAGCAGATCAGTGTCAACTCTGCTACATCAACCTGAATAACTTTTGCTAACACATGTGGCAGATACTTCAGAACTGCTTAAATGTCTATGATTGATTGATGATTAGTGAGGGCAATTTTTCCAGAGTGTTGTTGACTCTCCTCTTGTTTGAACTATTTGTCTGATACTTTCCATCATTTAGCTATTAGCTATTAGAAACCATCCTTGTGGACTTACGTTAATTCTCTAAAACATTCAAAGGTCAGATTTTCATCACTTGTATCAGCAGCAAATGTCTTCCCTGCTCATTTTAAATCTTCTCACAGCAATTTGGTTTTAGATAATTATACTTATTTAATAAGCTCCCTGCTCATTTTCTTTCCCCAAATGGAATAATTATATTCTTCCATTTTATTTTTTAAATGTATGATTAGTCCTCCTCCCATAATATTCAGTTCTTTCACCCCATCCAAGATGTCTAGCACAGTATCTGGGAGATACGAGGATATTAAACAAATGCAGGGTGTGGTAGAAGCATCACACTATGGTCTTTACTTCAGCCAGAATCATGCAAAAACCTTAGGAAGGAAGGGGCAAAGCACATGGAACACAATTTTTTTTTAGACAGGGTCTTGTCCAAGCTGAAGTGCAGTGACATGGTCATAGTTCATTGCCGCCTCCAATTTCCGGGATCCAGCAAGTCTCCTGCCTCAGCCTCACCCGTAGTTGGGACTACAGGCATGTGCCACCACACCCCAGCTATTTTTTTTTATTACTTTGTAGAGCTGGGGGTCTCGCTCTGTTGCCCAGGCTGGTCTTGAACTCCTGAGCTCCAACGATCCTCTTGCCTCGGTCTCCTAAAGTGGTGAATGACTGTGCCTGCTCTTGGAAATGCTTTAAAGAGAACACATTGGAAGAGGCTGTGACACTAAAAATAAAAACAGAGAAGCCAAGACGTACTCAGGAGCTCTTCAGATGCACCAGAAAGCAGCTGATAGAACACGTGGAAGTTTCTTTCACCTCGTGGTTGCTTAACAACTCGAGATTTCTCTAGAAGATCTAAAGAGAAAAATAATTAAGTCATAGAATGGTATTGTTTCACTTTCAAATCCACTGTGTTTTTTTTTTTCTCTTTCTTTTCTTTTCCATTTTCTATTCCACATTAATAAAATAATAAAAGAAGCTACATTTTCAGTTCTACCTTCAGGAAGAAGCAAAACTCTAATGAAAATCACCAAATTAAACTAGGTTACTTTTAAACAGTGAATCCAAAACAAGTTACATTCAACATGCTGATTAAAGAGAATACGAATATTCTCTTGGTTTTTTATGACATTAAATTCTCCAAAATGAAGCATTACAGATTTAAGTACAGAATACAGGCATTCAGGTATGACTCCACTTAATAACTATAATGATAAAAAGTAAGTTACAACTTTAAGATCATATGAAGTGCTAAGTGCTTTATAGACATTAACTCATTGAACCCTCGCAATCATTTAGTAAGATATCATTTTACAGCTGAAAACACAGCCCAAGACTTTCAGCAACTGAGTTGGTAACTGTTGGAACCAAGACGTGAAATCTGTACTCTATCTGATGCCCACATGCCCCACTACCTAGGAGAAGTAAAGCAGATTGTATGGAAACCTTGGTCTTAGAGAATGAAAGATGGTTCTCATGTAATGGAATCTGGTGTTATTTGGTAGTATATTTTCATGACTTCAGATAATTTTCATGTCTTACCCAATTTTCAAACCTTCGTCTAGAAAGGAAGAAGGGTAGGAGGGAGGGAAGGAGAAGAGAAAAAGAGAAAGGGAGGGACGGAGGGAGAAGAAAGAAAGATGGGAGAGAGGGGAAGAGAAGGTTGGGAAGCAGGACCTTCCTGCCTAGAGTCCTGCTCACCACTGACCAACAGACTCTGCAAGTAAAGGCCAACTCCAGCTACAAAACCCCAAATCAGCCCTGCCATTATTGAGCACTAATTCTAGAGAACAAACACATTTGATTCTCAATCAGGTTGAAATCTAAAGCATCATAAAAATAGTGGGTAAGGGAGAGAATGATGTGTAACCTATCAGGGAATGATCACTGAACTTTAAAATTTGCATTTCTGGAATGAACACCAGCATCTGGAGAGGAGCTTATATAAGTTAAAAGGTGTATGTTTGATGATGAGAAGTCCTGGGGTACTCCAAATACATAAGGCTAGTGGCAAGAGGAAAGAGATGGATTGTAAGGAAACACAAAATTAAGCCAACCAAAAAGACAAAAATATGTAAATGCAGAAATTATTTTCATTTCCAGTTCTCATATGACTTGGGAGACTGCCAATGTCCTCAAATCATAGATGGGAAAAAAAGACAGGAGCAAGGGACAGGGAAGGGAGGAAGGGGGGAGGGATGAAAAGTCCAAGAGAGATATAACATAGGAAAATAAAAAATCATGTAACATTCACCATCTCTAGAAATAGAACGGTTCAGTCAATTAATGAGTAAACCCTGACATGCAGAGCAAAAGACAGACTAAATAGGGAATGACAAAAATGCAGTATGACCTTCCTTGTCACGTGACTGAGCTTCCATGAGTCCTAAGGATACTCTAACAGCTTCAGAAGAAAGCACTCACAAGGCCTAGGCAGATTCCTCACTGAGAAGCTGATCCCTTAGAAGAAATTCCTCAAGTCCAGAGGACGGTGAGTCGATGATGCAAAAAATATAAACAAATGCTGGAGTTCACTTCAGTTATTCATGCACAAATTCCTTCCATCCACTCACTTGCTGCTCAGCCACTAGGTGCCAGGAACTACTTGGGAATGAGCTGGCACTGACTGTCAACATAAAGACCTTCCTCCTGGCCTCCAAAGTCACACATGTCCCCGGTACTCCTGCTACCCACACCAACAGCAGCAGCCCTCTTCAAGGCAAGATGCCAGGTCCCTTCTGAAGCAGGAACGGGGAGCCATGCCCTCTCACCTCCTAAGGATGACAAAGGAGCACGTGGCAGCACTCACACAGTCACCTTCCAAAAGCAAACAGTGACGTAGTCCAAGACACAAAACCACGCCTTCACAAAGCACGTGACAAGTGACACTGCAACAGCAGAGGTTGTCCTGTGACATACACAGGCATAAGTACATGTGTGATGACGGATGAATTAAGACCAAGAAAGCCCCCAAATGATGGCCTGGCTCTTCATGTTATTCATCAGGTGACAGCGGGATGTGGGGTAGGGTGGCATTGGTGTCGATTCCATTGGTGTCTACAAGGGAGTGTAAAAAGGGCAATGGTTGAAAGGTTCAGCGGCTAACATGCACCAGGTTCAAGAATAATATTCATTGGTGCATGACATGGAGAGGAATGCTGGGTAAACGTACTTCCTGAACCCCACACACCGATATGATCAGCGATTGCTATCATATTCAAATATGGAACAGAATGCTGTGTGTGTTTCAAAGGAGAGGAACAAAGGGGAAGTCAAAGGGAGTTCTTCCTGACCTTCTGCTATGCATTTGGTGCCTTTGACTGGCAAAGCTCCCCTGAGGCCGGTTTTATAATCCCTATTTTACAGATGGGAAAATAAGGCTCATATCACACTCTTGGTAAGCAGCACAGTCAGAATTCAAAGTCCTGGGCAACTAGGAACCATGCCTATATTCTTTATGATTTTCCCGCAAAAAAAGGGGGGGGAGCAAAGTCCTTAAATACTTGGCAGTGTTGTACCTTACTATATAAATAACCATGTTCATTTAAGCAACTCAATCACAAAATGAGGAACTTTTTATTACACAGCAGCTGAAGGTTTTACCACTTAAAATGCTGATCCTATTACCCTGGAGCCTCCTATTTCAGTTTCTTTATGACTTTTCTCGTAAGTCACAAGCTTCCAGGTAGAAAAGTAATCTGGGAAAATGTTTGCCCTGAAATAATTTACTAATGCTTAAAATCGTTCCCTGTTGGTTGTTTTTTTTTAAATTCTAAATGTGCACTCACCAACATAATCTAACAGCATGAAGCCATATCAAATAATTACTCAGAATAAAGAACATAAATTCAATTCACTCTAGGGACGCACCACCTGACCATTTTAATTTACTTAAATGTGCCCCTGAATTAAGAGGATGCAGAATCCTGGCACGGCCTCTTCTGCTGTAGGACTTCCACCACCACCAGCTGAGCCTCTGCTAACGAGATTTAGATGCCAGATATTTAGTATAGAAGAGAGACTCTAGATATTCCAGCACAACTACAACCTCCCTCGAGATATAAATCTAAGTTTACATTAAATTTAATATACATTTCCATTGTAAGGAAAGAGATACATATATTAAGTCATTCAAAACAGGAAGTCAAGGGGGAGAGGACAAAAAACAGTGGAATCAGAGCCTGCCCACCCACCCCTCTTGCCGCTGTCACCTGACAATTAACAGAGTCAGGCCATCATTTACGGGCTGTTTTAGTCTTGACACATCACCAACTGTCTACAACATGTACATATGCCTGTGACTGTCACAGGACAGCCTACCCCAGGCACAAGATGTGAAAGAAAGAAAATGTCCATGGTTGCACCTGCTGGGGGAATGAAGGTTTTTTTATTGTTTGTTTGTTTTTGTTTTTTGTTTGTTTGTTTCTTGAGTGGAGGTCTCACTCTGTCTCCGAGCTGGAATGCAGTGGCAGGATCACAGTTCACCACAGCCTCGACTTCTTGGGTTCATGTGATCCTTCTGCCTCTGCCTCAAGAGTAGCTGAGACTACAGGCACCACCACACCTGCTAATTTTTTGTTTCTGTAGAGACGGGGTTTCACTATGTTGTCCAGGCTGGTCCTGAACTCCTGGCCTCAAGCGATCTTTCCATCTTGGCCTCCTCAAAGTGCCGGGATTACTGATGTGAGCCAATGGGCCCAGCAGGGGAAGACGTTTTTTAACAGACAAGGAAAAAAAAAAGACAAGTAATAGTTGGGAGGGGAAAAAAACACATCACTTACTTTGGGACATAACAGAGGAAGGATTCGATTGTATGATAAAAGTCTATTATTTTATGTCATCTCCTCCTGTGGAAAAAGAGGTGGCCAAAGTTCTTAATTAAGGCTCAACAAAGAATTAGCCTTGTCTCATTTTTGCCAATGAGGTCAGAAAGACAACAACAAACTGATGGAAATAAAGCCTTCAACTCTGAATACCAGGTGCCCCACAGAGACGTGACTCCTCTCCAATTGCTCCAAGATGAACATTATGAAAAAAGCATCCCATTGGCTTAGGTTCTTCCAATGAAGGCAAGTTTCTTCATTAAAGCAAAAGGATTCATTAAACAAACCTATGTCTGAATCTAAGTAGCTATACATCATCTCCCTGTTTTCTCTGTCTTAGATAATCATCCCCGAAAAACAACAACAAAACACTAAATAACTAGTAGGAAAATGGGCAACACTGGTAGTAGTTTCAGTGGAAAATTCTGACGACGAATTCATGTTGACTTCAGTGTTGCAGTTTATAGTCTAAAATCAACTCTATACTTTTTCTGGAAATAGACAACATAAGCCCTCAAGATTGACAATCAGGAAGGTTCGCGAATGGCAACTTTTCAAGATTAAAAAGATGGGCAGATGTCTTCTTTCAAATTCCTGATTCACTGTGCAGGCATATTACAGTAAAAGATGCCAGGTGCCAACACCAAGCTCGGGTCCTCTGTGGACCCTGGTCTTATGAGATCCTCCAGACATCTGCAGGCCGCAGGCTTTGAGGAGTTAGAAATATCCAGCATGCCACCACATCATTAGTCATCCTTCCCCTCCACTGCACTCTGCTAAAAGTTTTCATTATTCAAAAGACAGGATCCCAAAGTGGTCAAATCAGCACTAAAGAAAGCTGGACATGTTGCATTAAAAGCTCTGAAAGCTGGACATGTTGCATTAAAAGCTCTGAAACATGAAAAATTAACTTGGGCTCCAAAGCCCTAAGAAAAACTTGGCTTATTATCTACTTAATTAACAACTGGTTATTAGAATTTGTTTATAAACATACAGTACACATGTATTTTCACAACAGATTGTCTTCTGATG